GCCTAACAACTCGACATCTGAAGAGGCCAACTGCATCACAATTCAAGGCAAACAAACCAGCACTTAGTTTCATGTTCTGTAAATCAGAGCTATATCAGACGAGTGGCTGGACCTACTGCATCGGAATCCGCCAAAGATCTGGGGTAGTTCCGCAAGGCCAAGAAGCGAGTGCGAAGAAATCAACTGGTTTACACAAGCTCCTTAAAAAGACATTAGATATTAGGTATTACAAGCTTCCTCTACTTCCTCTACATACCAGACCAATATTACACCTTCATGGCGCTCCACTCATGCACGTGGTTCTGGTACATCTGCCCACAGTGCCGCATAAGGCCATTCTTTTCTAAAGGTTCCCTAATGGAGGTCGTAAAAGACATCGTAGTGACTACTGTGATGCCGGCACTAACACAGACAACTACCATAGGCTCAAGCAGCAAGAGTGTCAGCACTCTACCCCGGCCAGTCACACCGGCGAATAGTCCAAAAAGACCAAAACGACGGCCGGGTACGCGACCAACTATATTCGTTCCTAACCCTGAAGCCACTTTAGGGGCTTGCCCCACTGTGCAGCGGGAAAATGGGTGGTAGCGGAAAAGAAGGTGCGTACTTCTCACGAAAAACCACCCACAGCACACGAAAATAGAGAAGCTGGTGACAGGTCGAACTCGATCATCTTATTTAACGTCCCAATGTTCCATGATAGTCTTGAGAACACAGAATCGTTTGACAAGCAGCAGTGGGGAACCGTTTGCACCACACTAGGACTGGGTAGCCTAGAAGCAAAACTGTGCAGGCTCTACAAAGGCAACTACCTACCTCAGGGAAAGCCTCTGACGATGAGAGTTACCCTAAGCTCGGCTAAAGAAGTGCGAAGATTCTTGCTGATGTCACACACACTAGTCGTCAACAGGTCATCCAGCATTAGAGCCAGACCAGACCGCCCTTGGTCAGCAAGAAAAGTATCTCACGAGTCACCCCAAACGCCGGAACCAACAACTATGGTTGTGCACGGCATACCAGAACTGACAACCGGCACAGTCGTAGAAAAGTATGCTCACGACGTCCGGCAATGGCAGTGGTTGTCAGCGAGGATGGGGCTAGATGGGACAGCAGCAGCGGCGGTCTGCAGACTGCCAAGTCCCTCACATTTGACGACGATAACGGCACCCCGGTTGATGGCTGTTGGCTCGGCTGTCAAGAGCTTTTAACCAGTGTACTGCAAACTTGGTACACAGTAAAAGATAACATCAGTGGGTGTTCGCTGCTGTGAAGGCAGGCCTAGGACACTACAACAACAGCAAATGGTAGCACCGCCCACCGCTGAAGTCACCATAACTGTCAACAGACAAGGTGGATAATCAACCTGGACTCTATGAAATCCCCAGAAAGCATTGTGGGAAAAAACGTGATTGGGCCGGTTCCACTGGAGCTGGCCGTCCAATAGCAAGTTCCGCCACTGCGCACGACTCCCTCCAGTCTGACAGCACCAAGATGCCCCTTGTCGTTAGAAACATAGCCAAGTGTCTTTGCAGTAATGTGAGGGGACTTAGAAGCAAAATGGGGGAATTACGATTTCTCTGTTCCTACCTTGCTCCAACAATCATAGTCCTGGCAGAAACTTGGTTATCACTGGATATAAGCGACTTCGAAACTAGTTAGACGGTATGCGCCTGTTCAAGAGAGACAGGGAGTTTAAGGGAGGAGACGGAGTGGCGATGCTTATAAGTGATAACCTTAAAGTGAACGAGCAACTGAACCCTACTTTCAGGGCTCCCAGACTCCATCTGGTGTCAGTTTAAGGTTGGACACACCAAGTACCTGGTAGAAGGCGTCTACAGAACACCCACTAGCAGCGTGGAAGATAACCGATAACTGCTGCAAGTAATGTCCCGAGCGACATCCATTGGATATGACCAGGTCACTATAGCCGGCGACTTTAATAATCCGACTCTCAATCTTGGGCAGGACAACGGAACGTCAAGCCGAAGGTTCGACCGAAACCTACTCAACGCTATCCAAAATGCTGGTCTGCGTGAGAATATTGGTGACGACACTAGCTGGGGGTCGGGTGGAAAGCCGTCCAAACTGGACTACTTTTTACCAGTGACCCACTGCTGGTAGGAAATGTACAGGTTAACCCACCCTCGCCAGCAGCTATCACGGCGTGGTAGTGTTCAATCTGGTACTCTCCGAACAACTGTCATGAGAGGCATCGCGCCCTCGTCTTTGCTACAGCAAAGCTAACTACGTGGTGATAAACCAATATCTGTCGACAGCACCATGGCCTCAGGAGTGGAGCAACCTGTGGATTGACCAACATTGGGAATTGGTCAGAGATGTCATCAGGAGAGCTGTCTCTGAAAACGTCCCAGTAGTCGATATGCAACTCAATACGTCCCTATCAAACCAAAATTACCAACCGTCCAACCGAAATTCAGCACCACCAAAAGCAGGAGAGTTACCTGAAATAAAGGTAACTCCTGATATTGTCCTTGAATACTGTCAAAGCTCCGCCCAGGGAAATCACCGGGTGTGATGGCATCCGACAGCTGCGCCGAAACAATGCGTGGGTGCCTTGTGCGGTCGGCTGTGTAACTTGTTTCAACACTCCTTAAACAATCACATGCTTCCACAAGAGTGGAAAAGTGCTATTTGTCCCCCATCTTCAAAGGTGGAGACATGCAGAACCCGAAATGCTACCGACCCATAGCCTTTCTACCAGTGGTGTCAAAAGTAATGGAGAGTCTGGTAGACGACCATGTGAGGGAGTACTTAGAAAAGAAGGGAGCACTCAGTGATGCACAACATGGTTTCAGATAGGGTAGATCTTGTGCCACAAGCATTCTGGTGGCAGGTGATAAGTGGACGTCATGCTGGGACCTACAAATTCCTGTCCATGTTATTTTCCTGGATTTTACTAAGGCCTTTGACACAATTCCACACACCATTTTTATTCACAAAATAGAAAGGTTGGGCATCAAGGGACAAGTGCTTTCATGTTTGCAGGACTATCTAGACGGTAGACATTTCTGAGCAGAAGCCAGCAGAGTTTGCTGGACCTGGAGGACATCATTATCTGGTGTGTCACAAGGGGGATTCTGGGTCCGCTGCTATTCCTTCTTCTTGTGAACGACCTCCCACTGAATCTCAGCTCCCCAATTCTACTTTACGCTGATGATGTTAAGCTATGGAGAGCTGTGACGTCAGAAACAGAATCAGGTGCACTGCAAAGTGATCTCAGATCACTTGCAGAGTGGGTGGACATTAATTGATTTGCATTTAACCCAGATAAATACCGAGCCATGTTTCTCCACACCCCAGACTCTCAGAAGGTACCCTATTCTCTCTGTGGAACACAACTCTCCCACACCACCACAGAGAAAGACCTAGGACTAATACTAACTGACAAACTAGACACTAGCCCAATTATCCAGGAGACGCCTTCAGAGCCTACGCACTACTGCACTTCATGCGCAGACGGTTGGGTGCCCTGACCCAGGAACTCTTTTTGAAGCTGTATAAGACCTATATACGACCCCACCTAGAGGTACACAACGTCATTGCACCACCATAACTGAGAGGAGACGTGAACCTCCTGGAGAAAGTCCAAAGGCGAGCTACAAAGGGTGTCATGGGAATGAGGCAAAAACCATATCAAGACAGGCTGAGAGATCTAGGGCTCTTCTCCCTAAGCTACCTTAGATTACGTGGTGACTTGATAACGGCATACAAAATACTCAGTAATCCAAGTCATCCGAACAGTGGACCCCTACCGAACGGCCACCATGGCGATCCTCGTGGTAACCCAAGGAGGATCGCTCACCAGAAAGTGAAAACCGTTGTGCGATCACACTTCTCTCTGCGAGTTTGCGGCCACTAAAACGCATTGTCTGCCGAGATTGCTACTGCTCCGTCTGTTGACAGCTTCAAGAAGAGGCTGGGCAGTTACACAGTGATGCACGCTTTGCGCTCATCCAACTGGGATGTGGACTAGGCTAACACGACTTACTATTCGGTATTACCAACCGTTACTGAACACTTAGTAAAATCACTACCACTGAGAACTTGGCTTAACCTTATACCTTCCTTGAGACTTCCCCTGCGGTTACCGTCCTCTACTGAAAGAATTACTATATTCCCATCGTCCCATAATGTTTTTTATTCTTCTTACTTCTGACTTACGTTCTCGAACTTTGACAAAAGCCCTCCCTATCACCCCGTCCCCATAAACCTACCAATGTTTCTTCCTCCTGCCGTTTCCTTTTTCCTAATCTTTTAAAATATATATGTTCTTCTTCCTTTTTTCCTCCTCTTTTTCTATTTTGTCTCTCTCTGCACACATTTTTCACCTCCTTTTTGCAACCAGTCCGACCAATTGTCTGCTGGCACGACATTTGAGGAACCCATCTGCACCACAGTCCTCGGAAGAAAAAGGAAACAAACAAACAACACTCCCTACAAATCTAAACAACACCCAACCGCCCCTCGGGTTAACCAGAGCTACAGCAGCCGAGTGAGTGGACCTACTGCATTGGAATCCACCAAAGACCTGGAACCGTCCGCAAGACCTATAAGCAAGCGCGAAGAAATCAATTGGTTTACACTAGCTCGTTAAAAGATATTGGATTATTAATCCAAAATCCAACATCCAACGTCAGTAGTGAGAGTAGAGGAAACTTGTCGTTTTTGAGACCTTGCTTCTAGGTCTTGAGGCTGAACGTTCAAACTTTTGATGTTAAAACACTTGAGGAACTTACCCACACAACAGTCCTTGGAAAAATCACACAATCCCTACAAAAGTAATCAACACCAAATAGCCCTTCGGGCTAACCACAGTTACAGCAGGTGAGTAGGTAGACCTACTGCATTAGAATCCACCAAAAACCTGAAACCGTTCTGCAGCACCTAAGAGTGACCACGAAGAAATCAGTTGCTGTACACCAGCTCGTCAAAAGACATTGAAATTGGAACGCGCGCTTTGCAGGTTGTTCGTTACATACATGAGTTCACCAAAACGACGTTGCTTTAGGCAAAGGCAAGAGAGTGAAAGCAGTACTGATAATGAAAAGTGCGACTTAATACGTCTCTTATGTAATTTTTTGCCAGTGTTGAGGAAGAAAATCAAGACGAGTCAAGCGGTCTGGAAGAATACGAGAAAGAAGAGTTAAACCGTCAAAATGATTTAAAAGAGCGTGATGCTTTCGTTAAGCGACTTGTTGATCGTGATCAACAAGAAACTAAGAGACTCTCTGCAAGGGCGATGAGTAGACATGAGGAGGCCTTGAGAAGAATCGCGGCCGGTGAAATAGTATGTGCAGCTTGCTCTCTCGTTCTGATTGTTATTTTAGGGTCGTGAAGAAATGATTACTGAGTTACGCAAGGCTTCCAGGCGAGCATATTTGAGGAAGAGGCAGTCTGATAAACTTGCTGATCTCCAAGCTGAGATTCAAGATGAAGAATTATTTTTTGATAACGAAGAGTATGTAATGATACATTTCCATCTGAGTCTTTTAGATTAACTGAGGCAGAGAAGGCAGAATTGGAGTATAAAAAAACTATTTTGGCAGTTGCGAAGTCTCATCAGCAGGCTGGGGAACTAGAAACTGTGACTCGTTACTATATCCCTACCGAAGAGAAGGTACCCTCATTTTTCATTGTTATCTTCTCTCATTGTTATCAATAGCGCCCGGAAGATCGTGAATTAAAAGAATCCGAGGCCAAGATAAATGACGAAAGCAAGCGGTGGGAACAAGAGCACCTTTCCTCAGCCCTTTTCTCTTTCGGTGCTAAGGATAAAGCTGGACAACAGGTTTGTTTGGCTGATTATTGCATATCATCAGGCTTTTTATTGCCAAATATTAACTTATATGTGAAAAATATTTCATTTAATCTACTCAGCTGTACTAAACGGATTGAATTTTGGAGCTTTTTCAGTAGTTTCCTGTGACTGAACACCTTATGTTACTATTGAAACACCATAACCTGTTTGCTTTGGACAACTTCTAAATTAGAAATAAATAGAGGATGTTTGTCTTAATTGGACTAAAAAATTGATCTACTGCCACTTTTGTCCAAGTTATCATATTGATAGTTGACCGACAAAAGTATCAGAGTGAAACAATCAGGCGTATAATGATCAATACTAATGTTTTGTTTTTCCGAATCGTAATTCTCCTTATAGTACAGAATTTTTAGCATGTGTTGTAATGCAAACTTTACTCGTAGTGCAACACTTTTTAAACATGTTAACCATGATTTTTATATACTGTAGATTATAAATAAATAAATAGACAGAGTAGTCGGATACCAGTCCTGAAAACTCATCTTACATTGACAGATGGGAAATGCATGCCAAACCTACTGAAGTTTCTGCTCAAGGTGTTCAAAAGGCTCTGCATCAGCGTCTTCACCTAATATGACAGTATCCTCTACGTACTGCATGTCAACTAGATACAATCCAGGCGGTAGAGCAATCCCTTCGAAGTCAGAGGTACCAATGGTTATGTCCATCAGCACCTCCATGGCAAAATTGAACAGGAACTGTGGTAGCGGGTATCTCTAACAGACACTACTAAATGTCATCAATTCATATGACAACTCATCATAAACCGTTACATGGCTGTGAGTTCGGTGCGAGAGCTTCGGTTAGCGTTACATACTTGCTCGGTATTCCCCTCACAGTCAGACTCTGTCCCATGATGTCACGGTTGTATAGCTCAGCGATAACGTCTCTGACCGTTGCACTAGGCGGTATGGGTTCGAATCTCAGGCTGGACATCTGTTCTGTAGAGGTCGCAGATACGTGTTGCTGATGGGTGTCAAAAAGCACAAAACCTAGGTTCAACACTTCCTGCCGATTGCCGCCATCCAACTGACATAAAAAATGATAAGTCTTTGGTCGAATTGTTGATCATTAGGTAGGTGACTAGGATCTAAAGCTGAACTTAACACTGAATGTGTGAGTGCCTCATAACTGGTTAAAACTTAGTAATATTGAATTTCCTATTTAATCCTTCAATATTACGCCCACTGTTTCACCAATTACTGAGTGCGGAATAAAAAAATTCAATTTTGTATCGCTCATCATTTTTTAAAAGCCTTCAAGGAAGCTGGTGATAGACCACAGTTCAAGTACAACACTCGGGAACTGAAGGACGAAACTACAAAGGAAATCTTCACGGCAGTCATCAAGAAAAAATAGGATATCGAGCAACATCCCTGAAGAGACCTGTATGGAAGAACACTGGAAGTCTCTGAAAGGGATGTGGGAAGAAACCTACACAACCGTATTAGGAAGGAAGAAGAAAGAAGAAAAGGAATGGATCTCGATGGATACACGGAAGCTGATAGAGGAGAGAGGATGATGAAGCAGAAGATAAACCAGTGCAAGGATACACAACGACAAGAGGAACTGAGTACAATGTATAAAACACTGGATAAAGAAGTGAAGAAGAGTGCACGGAAAGACAAAAGACAACATTGTATCAAATAACTGGGTTACTGCTTTCTGGGAGGGAAGAAATCAACACAGATGAAACCAATAAAAGATGATGACGGAAATTTAATAACGAGAGAAGAGAAACAAAGGAAACGATGGGTCGTCCACTTCAAGAAGCTGTTGAATCGACCACCACCACCACCTGCACTTCGTCCAGAAATACAACCTGCAGCCGCTGAACTACAAGTGAACATAAATCCTCCAACAAAAATGGAAGTCCTGAACACCATAAAGCTACTGAAATGTGGGAAAGCAGCAGGATCAGATGGAATCCCTCCACAAACACTGGAAACAGACGTAGAGACAACAACGGACATGCTCACATCACACCACTACTGCAGAAGGTGTGGAAGGAAGCGAAGGTACCTGGCCATTGATTGGAAGAAGGGTTACCTTGTCAAGCTGCCGAAGAAAGGAGACCTCAGCGTTTGCAAGAACTGGCGTGGAATCACTTTCCTATCCACCCGAAGCAATATATTAATTCACATCATCCTGGAGAGGCTAAAGGATACACTGGATTTCAAACTACGACCGGAACAGGTTGGCTGGATTCAGGAAGTACAAATCATGTGCGGACCGAATTGCGACGCTTCGCATCATCATAGAACAGAGCATAGAATGGCAACTCTCTACCTCAACTTCATTGACTTTGAGAAGACCTTTGACAGCGTTGACCGAGAAGTAATTTGGAAACTTCTTCAATACTACGGAACACCACAAACCTTTATCAGCCTCATTCAACAAGTATATGAAGACGCTACATGCCAAGTAATTCACAATGGGAAGCTCAGTGATGCCTTTGAAGTGAAGACAGGAAGGAGTGAAACAAGGCTGTCTACCATCACACATGATATTCCTGATTGTGGTCGACTGGACTGTATCGTGCAAGAAAGAGTGGTGAGCGAGAAGAGGGTGATACGGTGGCTGGACGGGGTAAAAGAACCTAGAATATTTGTATTTCACCAGTGATGACTTGTGTCTGATGTTGCACAAACTTGAAGATCTACAGGCGAAAACTAAGAGGTTGGCAGAAGAGGTAAGGCAAGGCAGGGCAGCGAAGACGGGACTTCAAGTGAATATAGAGAAGATGAAGGTGATGAAGATACCCAACCAACACCACCACCACCTGCATCAACGAGCACCAATGGCCATGAATTGGAGAAACTTAAAGGAAGTAACCTCCTTCACCTATCAAGGCATGCAGCACTGTTTCAACTACAGGTGTCACAGGCACAGACGAGGATGTCAAAGTCAGCCAGTGATCGAAAAAGCAAGACAGGCGTTCACTAACCCGAAACCAGTGTGCACTCAGCATAAAGCGTGAACAACATCTGGATTTTCAACACCAACGTGAAATCAGTGCTTCTATGTGATGGTTGAGAGACTTGGCGCGTTACGAAAGGGATTTCCAACAAACTACAGATATTCATCAACAACTGCCTACGCTCGACACTGAAGATCAGATGGATTGTTAGAAAGAATAAGCAACAAGGAACTGTGTGAACGAACCAACCGAGAACCTATCGCTCAACAAATATGCAGAAGCAGAGAGTGCAGGTGGATTGGGCATGTACTGAGAAGGCCGATTGGGGACATCAGATGTCAGGCCAGTTGCTTGAGTGGAACCCTGATGGAAAGAGACGAGTTGGGCGTCCGAGGTGATGGTGACATGGAGGAGATCTTGTGAGGAGGAAATGAGTACTTGTGGGTTGTCGTGGAGCCAGGTTCAAAATATTTCAGAGGAGAGAGTTCACTGTAGACGTGCTACTGAAGCTCTATGTTCCACTGGGAACCCAAGGGACAAATAATAATAATATAATAATGTAGTTGCCTCAAGTTGCAATTATTCTGTAACGGTAAAGCTTTCAGTGTTGTTACTTTTCTCTCAGAATAAGATTCCTAATTCCTTCCCTGAAATTCGAAACCAAATAGATCGATTGATGCTTAGTTTGATCAGTAAACTAAATGTTCTAGTGACTCGTAAAATCTAAAATAGGATTTGTCTAAAGTACAACACAACTAATTTATAACAATGACTCTTAGTACAAGCCTCGAACCGTAAGGTGTCTGTGGGCAAATCACCATCAAAAGGAGTTCATAGCAAATGTTTCAACAATATAAACATCAAAGCTGTCTCCAAGGTGAACCTCGGGGAAAAATGCCTAGACCATACGGATTCCCAGGGTAAAGTAAAAGACTAAAGATGAGCAGATGATCAAGGGAAGATAAGTCATCAGGCAAGCAACTAAAGAGACTATCGTACAGTCTTAAGATTTGAAAAATACCAATGTCATAAAGTGTCAAAATGATGAGAAAAATACAGTTATAACAGAAATGAACTAAGCTGTAGGAAACGTTACATAATACAACGTGAATTATACTACTCAGTACCTCAAAGTAGTACATATTCTTATTAGAACTAGTGGTTGGTACAACATGGGCACAATGAGAATGTGCCATACAAGATAATAGAGTGACATTATAAATACATCGAGAGCCAGAGAGATAGTGGAAACAGAAATGGGATTGGGCATTAGAGAAGCTGTCTCGAAGATACATCCGAAGATGGGTTAACTCCTTTCGTTTTACTGTCTAGTAGTGGAAGAAACAAGAAAGTTGCAACATGATCGCCACTGGCATCGACTCTCAACCATGTCTGATGTCATTTCAAACCACTAGCGTGTATTATCTTTCCGGTCCCATCTATGAGGTGAGGGACCGGCATATGCTAACGCAGTAAATATCTTTTATCGCACAGCGCCACGTTATGCTCTAGCCATCTTCGTTTCTTCAAACCGGTCTCAGGGCAAGAAAACAGTGAGTAGTGGTGCGGGAGTCACTGAAGCAGCATACATAACTCATGTCCAAGCCACTGGATTTGGTGTTTCAAGATGGCCACATTCAGTGAAATGACAATCTCGACCTCACCCGAACATATGCTGTCTCACCTCAGAATTGCTTACATGGTGTTTCCATCGGATGCGGAAAACTTTACGGAGGCAGCGGGGTAGAAAACGCAGTCACTGGACATCCTCAGCTCGAAGACATCATATTTCACAAGCGTAGAGCAGAACTTCATTGCTAGGTTGTTTACCCGAACTTTTATATTAAGGTTAATGTCTCAATGATGCTGATGTTAAAGCAAATGGGTATGCCACTTTGAGTTTCGGCATCCGGTTAGAAATCTCATAAGTCGCATCTTTGTCGGGACTCGCATAAATAACTACATGAACTTTTCCACAGGTCCCAGGGATTCACTGCAAAAGCTGAGTGCAGGTACAGACTCCTGTCATTCTTGTAGAATCACTTTGAACTTCGATGGTGTGTAGCGTTTACTATACATGCGGACACTGATCGCTAGCTAGTTGAGTGTGATGTGAGTAGCCTGTATGTTGTCGTACAGTAAAGTGATGTCGTCCACGTACTCAAGGTGGAAGTTTCCCACCTGGTAACAGGTCCATTGTAGCACCACTCGCTTCCTTTAAGGTGGTTTCGAGGTCATTGATGGTAAAGTTAAAGTAGAGTAGCGAGATCAGGCAACCTTGCCCAACTCTACCATTGGTTTGGAAAACTGTTGATAGATGCCTGTAAGGCTTCACTTTACCTTAGGTGTTGGAGCATAGGGTTTTCAAGTTGTTAACAAAATTCTCAGGGACATTGTATACGAACAATTCTGGAGTACAGTCCTATTCAACAAGTCGAAGAGACCACTAATATAGAGTAGGACAGTGGCGTTTTCGCAAATGCAGCCAATGCTCGTCTACACTTTGTGGTGGACCGATAGGTGGCCTTAAATCTAACTTGGATTAGTATTTAGCTGCAATTTTGGATGCAAATAATTTGCTTGGATCGACCTGTTTAGGACGACGATTTTGATAACTCAAGAAGAAACTTAGCACACACTAAAGCATGATCAGAATCCAGACAAGTACTTATGGAGCGGCAGTCCTACATGCACTTACGCCATCGGTAGCTGATTGCAATACTACCTTTTTAAGTCTAGGCTTCAGTGTCAGAGGGAGAACGTCAAGTAGTACAAAAGAAATGGCTATACCGGCGGAGCGTAGAAATAGGTTGTGATCTGCGCAAAGCTGCAGAAGACAATCCCCATTATCCCACCTGCGCATTCAAGTCCCCAGCTAGCACTATGATATCTGTCGAGCACACTTGGTTGAGATCACTCAGCTGGTAATAGAATTCATCCTTGGTTACATCTGGGCTGCAATCTCTTGGAGCATAGGCAGGGACGAGAAAGAGATATCGTTTCTTTTGCCGGTTACTTCTTAATTGAGATATATCTTCTAGCCTAACAGCACATAGACGACTGTTGATGGGGATCCAGTTGGGTAGTGCAGCTTCGGCTAGCGAAGTTGTTCAATTTATAGGTTTGTAGAGATTTATTAATTCCAAGTTGGTATTCATCATAGACTGAAAGGAGTTGGAGTATGGGACTTTCCCGCATTGTGCGGCCATGACGAACCCATGACCTTCAGGTTCTGCTACCAGCACGTTACTACAGTGCCATTGAGTCGGAATCCAGTGGTCCACGTTTCCTACCTCTGCTGAGTTATCCCATACTAGAAGGAAACAGCTCTCCAGTGCTTCGAGGTTCCAATGTTTCTCCAACTGTTATCAGTCCATGATGAATGTCAACCTGAAGTCTAAAAATGTTTAGCGAGTAAAGTAAACTGCAGTTAGGGATTATATTAAAACTGGATAGGTGATTTCAACCAACTCTCACATAACTCCAACAAGACTATCTGTAAAACTCTGCCTAATACTTTGTTTTTAAAAGCTTTTATTACTTACAACTAATACCTATTGTTTCCATTGTAGGTCAAATATGATCTTGTCTTGGATGATGAAATAGAATTCTTAAAAACATTGACACGACCTGGTGCCAACGTTGAACAACAACAAGTTGATGTAGAAGTAGAAGAAGAACGAAAAGTAGCCGATAAACGTGAAGCTCTTAAAGAAGCTAGATGTTCACTTCCAATCTACAAATTCCGAGATGCTCTTCTACAAGCCATAGCCGACCATCAAGTTTTATTATTGAAGGTGAAACAGGTTCTGGCAAAACGACACAAATTCCCCAGTACTTATACGAAGCAGTATGTTCGTGTTTTGTTTTATAAACCTTATCCTTATGATTGTTCAATTCAGCAGTCCGGTCTGTTCTACTCTATGGCTGTGAAACATGACCATTGAAGGTAGAAGACACGAGAAGGCTTCAGGTGTTTGACCATCGTTGTCTTCGTACTATAGGCCGTGATTCGTGGTGTCACCACATGAGTAATGCAGAAGTCAGGTGTAGAGTTTTAGGGAGAAGAGGTGAGTCAGTTGACACGATTGTGAACTTTCATCAATTGAGATGGCTGGCAGGGACATGTGTTACGTATGCCTAATGCTTAGTCACCAATTGCCTCGTCACACAATGTTGGTGGAAGTAGGTTGAGACTGGTAAAAGGTTCTAGGTGGCCAGTCTAAAACAGGGGATGAATGTATGAGTGTTTGACTGTTGGTTTGAGTCTTCTGCGGGGGGAGGGGGGAGGGAGGGCGATGCAGACCAGCCAGTCGGTTGTGGTGTGTGGGACAAGAGGAGCCAGTGGTTGGAGACTGACTGACTGTAGGTGATGATATGGCTGAGAACCAATGTCAGTGGTGGAGATGTATACCCACGCACGTTATCCTGATCTTAACGCTATGACGAATCTGACCATTTTCTCATTCTTGGTTTCTCTCTTTTCGTACTTGATATTTCTTCTGACTGAATTTTCTTTTCTTCATCTTCCACTTTAGTTTCTTTTTACTTGATGTACTGAGTGATATAAGGTGTGGCAGCAACTCGGACCGTTGGGCAGTAAGCGTGGTCCTATGTTAATGGATGATGATTGTTCAATTGCTTTCCAACTATTTTAGTTAGGTTATGGTTCTTTTTGATGTAAGTGACATGAAGGTAAAAGGCAATTAGGATTTCGTCTCCTACAATACACCTTTGTCTTCTTGGATCATAGTCTTTTTGTTATCCGCTTGTTATTTGCGTGGTACTGCAGACTGCAGCAACTTGAACCGATGCACATGTGTGTGTGTGTGTGTGTCAGGTTGTATGTTGACTTTGTCTGTCTGTCTGTCTGTCAGCAAATATTGTGAGCATATTTAAGAACTGAGAACTGATTTTTGATTTCAAGTTGATATTCATCATGGACTGACATCAGTCAAGGAAACATTGGAAACCTGGGAGCACTGGGAAGCTGTTTCGTCCTGGTGTGAGGCTCTTCAGGAGTGCGCACCATGACTTCGGATCGTCAGGGTCAAAACCAGGACCTTCCAATTTCCATCAGTTCACGGTATAGCGCAACCTCCATTCTATACCGTCGTTGAGTAACTGTCCTCATATCCGACTTGGTTAACCCCACCGGTCAGTACTTCTCATTGGAATCACCCCTTAAAGTGAGTCACCAATGAGTATAAGATACCAATTGATTTAAGGTTGATATTTTTGTTTACGCATAGCTCTCTCCTAAGCCCATGGTTTATTTCATAGTCTTAACTATTAGATATTAGCTAACCGTCAACATTTGCTGTCTTACTTCAATCAATCAATCAGTCAGTCAATATGTCACCGTTGAGCTGAAGAGTACTCTTGCAAGTACAACACTTCGGTCAGTCATCTCACTAGACACATACTTTGTTTCTTTTCCTTTCATTTGTTTATTAGTGGACCTGTGGCTTGACTTTGGACTGATGGGTCATGGGTTCGAACCCCGCTCTACCTATCGAGGTTTAGGTAACTAGGTGGTAAGTATCATTAGGCCTCATGCAATAGGCGTGGCTCATTGCCTACTGCACAAATGTCCATAGGGTTGCTGAGTAGATTTCGCTGAATTCTAGGAATATCCAGCTGTCTACTATTTCCCTATTATGAAAGTATTATTCTCAACTAGGCGATAGATTAATATAGCTACCTTTCCAAACTGAATACAAAAGTCCCGTTTTGCACTTGCTAACTTGCGTCATCTGTTGTGTGGACGAGATATAAGGGTACATATGAACAACTAGTATACTGGGCTACAATCTGTTCTGTCCTGTTAAATAGCTGTTAAACATGACCGTTGAAAATAGAAGACAAGGAGCGATTACAGGCTTTTGATTGCGAATGTCTTTGTAGCATTGCTCACATGTAGTGGAATCACCGTTTGAGCAATGTTGAAGTCAGGTGAAGGGTACTAGGCAATTCGATTGATGAGGTCGTGAACCTTCATCGGCTGAGGTGTGTTGAACATGTACTGCACATACCAAGTCACTGCCTACTTCAATGTGTAATGGTAGGAGTAATTGGATTAGGTTGTTAGAGGGTTCATGGTGGCCAGACAAAGACGTGGTACCAGTGGATGAAGTCTCTTACTGTTGGTCTGAGTTTTACAGAGAGTGAGATGTAGACTATGTGACTGGGCTCCCCAAGACGATATGAATCAGTGATTGAGGACTGACTGTTGGTGAGATGGCTGAAAATCTGTCAGAATGACTGAGATGTATTCACTAGTTGTCTTCAAATTGTTTATTCTCCCACACAACTTTTTCTACTTTGATATCAGTCTTTTTCTGTCCACCCGTTCTCTGTATACTATTGTGATATGTGGGAACTTGGGCCGTTGCACTTGTTTGTGAGGTTCTACGTCGATTTAGTCTGTTTATCTTTCAGGCTGGGCAAGACATGTATAGTGATGAGTGATTTTCATATCTGTACTAGTTGAAAGTTAGTGTTGTTGAATTCACTTCCTTCAGCGATTGTTTCCGTTAAACCTGCTTTCGATTTTTTTCTTTCCAATATACGATAAGGAATTTTCATTGCTTCTCTATAACTGTTGCATACCTCTATAAATGTCAACATATTTTCCTGTTTTCATTTCGTTCTGTTGAATGTTCATCTGACTTTTGACATAATAACAATAATGTCCACTCTCTCCATTTTATTCAATTTTTATCATAAATGTTCTTATGGAGGTCTCCTTTCGACATCCAACTACACTGGGATTAACCTAATCATAGGAGAATTTTGGGTGGATTTAGAATACACAAATGAGATACTCGTGTTAGGTAAAGGCGTTGACAAGATGCAGAGTCTTCTGGACACCTTGAATTGCAATTTGAGAATGTTTGGAATGCGTTTCTTACCACTAAGTGAAAATTGTTGCTCCACTACTAGTCTTCGATGGGTACCCCGTCTAACATTAGAGGGTGAAGTGATTGAGTGCATTGAACACTTCACTTACGTGAGAAGTTGGATCAACCGTGATGGGTCAGTGACTGACGAAATCTCTACACGGATACAAAGGCTTGGTTGGCTTTAGCCAACTTATGCTATCCCTGGCGCCACCGGGATATCCTATTGTCTATTGAGGATCGAGTGTACTGTGCTGCAATCTGCTCTCTTCTGTTGTATGAATGTGGGTATTTAAAGGTAAACGATATGAAGAGGCTTTAGGTGTTGACCACCGCTGCCTTCGTACTATGGGCCATGCTTCGTGGTGTCACCATATGAGTAACGCAAAGTCAGGTGTAGAGTTTTAGGCAGGAGAGGTAAGTCAGCTGGTTCTGTCGCGAACCTTCATTGACTGAGATAGCTGAGACATGTGCTAGGTATGCCTAGTACCGTCTGCTGGTTTGAGGTATGTGTGGAGATGCAGACTTGGTGGTTGGGTTCCACGGGACAACGGAAGCCAGTGGTTGGAGGCTTTAAGGTTGTTTAGTTGAGAATCGATGTCAGTGGGGCAGTGGCATACATACATTATCGTCACATTGACCGCTATACTTAATCTCATCATTATCTTCTCGTCCTACCTTCTTCGCTTTCACTACTTTCTGCTTCTACTTCGTTTGGCCGATTTTTCTTTCTTCATCTTCTATAGTATTACCGTGTTACTTGATGTGCTGATATGAGATGTGGCATTTTAGACTGTTACGCAGTAATACCTGGTCATTGTTGATCTTGATGATGATGATGAATAAGTTTTTAGTAGATACTTGTAATTTCCCTTTTGCTGTGCTGACTCGACCTTTGTTAGTAGTGGTATCTAGTACCCTCGTTTCGTCCTCACCACTCACTGGGATGCAGTAATATGCGCACTCAGCCACCATATGAACGTCCGTGCAGTAGGCAATAAGCCTAGGCTAGTGATATTACCTGGTTGCCCAAACGTCGGTAGATGGGGTGCGGTTCGAACCTGTGACAATTGAGGCACGACACCACCACACACACACACACCAGCCGATGAGTCCAGAGTATGGCGAAACGCGTCTTGGATTCTGCTGCTAGCCACCAAGTAGACTGCGATGAGTTTGCAAGCCCATTCTTCTGCAAAATATAAAACCTTATGACAATTAAAATCTATCTAGGCCTAAGATGTGTTTGATGTAACTTACTTTAATGTCTTTAAATCTATCTATTGAAAGTGATTTACTTGTCACGAAGACTGTTTCTGCTTATATTTCATCTTTTATCGTTATTAAGTTTAAGTAAGCTTTTATTATTGTTTTTTATAGGGATATTGCAATAATGGTAAACGCATCGGTTGTACACAGCCTCGTCGTGTTGCCGCTATGTCAGTCGCTGCTCGAGTTTCACAAGAAATGTCTGTTAGACTTGGCTCTGAGGTTGGGTATAGTATTCGTTTTGAAGATTGTACTTCAGAGCGTACAATCATCAAGTATATGACTGATGGTATGCTGTTGCGTGAATTTCTAACAGAACCAGATTTGGGCGCTTATTCCGTAATGATGATAGATGAAGCTCACGAGCGTACACTTCATACAGACATACTATTTGGTCTAGTGAAGGTAAGAAATGCTTACTATGTCAAGATTTTGCTATTTGTATTGTACATAGTTTATAAGTAAATGGAACTGTGATCAACCAGTCTTGTTGTATACAGCGTAATCGTTGTAATGATACCTTAGCAACTATATACATGTTTATTGATATATACCAAGCTTCTAGTTACATCTCTTTTGTATAAAGGTTAACGATATTACAATTGAGTAGGCAAAATACTTTTCAGTTAAGTACATAATAGTAAAAAGGTTGTGTGTGTACATGCATAGATCACTTATCTTGAATATTACTGCAAGAGTGCAGGGGGTTGAGATTTCCCGGCTGCCCTCACCATGGAAAGTACCTGAAATATAAGATTTATGTTGGCGTAAAGCCCATGAAACATTTGTTTGAGGCCTGTCACACAGCCTTTCGACGATTGTCGGTGTAATTTGTCATTGTTCTAACGTCAGGGCGAGAAAATCCATACCTCCGGCACCAAGAGAGTGTGTTATTTATAGGGCCAACCTTTTCTTAAACGTTACTTCCTAAGGTGATACTGTTGGTCACTTGAGAGAAACACGTTACTGCTGTCAAATCTTATCCAGCTAGCAGGAGTATTTCTTTTCCCCAAATCCCTATCACAGTGTAACAGTTTACACTATAACGGTAACTGCTTATCGTCTTACCACTATCCAACTAACCTTTCTGGTGTGGTTAGGATCTTGAAGGGATAAGCGTCCCAGCCATTGTAGCTTGTAGGGTCATTGTGATAAACAAACCCGACCACCGCGTCAAGGTAGCAGCTATTGGCTGGGTAAATCATTTCTAAGCACTTTTATTTACTCATCATCAGATGTTTGTTATATTGATTAGGTTATTTTATTTATTTTACAAGATTTTTTTGCTGGTTAAACCAATTATGTTATATTATCTCATGTTCTATGCACGACATTGGTTGTATTATCCTTACAAATTATAACGCATGAGACTAAAAGTCATCCCGTGGTGTGTTATCATGCTTATTATAGCGTTCTATGTGAAAATACGCGTATTTTCTGTATTCTGCATGCATATTTATCCCAGTTGAATGATTTTTAAATTGTTGTCTGTTATTGAATTGTGCTTCATACCGTCGATTCGGCTGCACTTCCACTTCTTAGATGGACAGTAGAGAGTTATTTAATGAAGAATAATGCTCACGAATCTAAATGAGTTAATTGAAGCTTCAAATAACAGCAAAAGTGGACATTTTTACTGGGAACTAAATATGAATAACAATTATTCTCCCTGAGCACTTTATACTTTACTGAGCTCCGAAAATCAGAAGGCATCGACTGACTTTATTTGACAAAAATGCATCATTTTTATACAGTTTCCATGATTGTATACAACCACAAGGTCAAAAATTTAATATCTTATTCTGATTGGCCGACCGTAGGACGAAATTGTCCAATAAGGTTTTTACTGAACACACAGTATAACATGAAGCAGTAGTTGAGATCCAAAACTTCTACCTTAACGGTTGACGATGTCTTGAAATGTTGATTTTCATTTTGACCGCTTCCTATCAGATAAAGTTTAGCCTCACTGAATAATCAGTCAGTGAATATCAATATAGAAAGAGAGATTACTGTGTAACAAGAGGAGGACATGAAGGGAGAATGCAATGAGATGAAAGATGAAGAGAGAAAGAAGGATGGGTGGAAAGTAGTAAAGGACGAGGAAGAGAGGAATGTGAAGATGCTGAAATTAAGTATAGATAGCGGTTAAGATGAAGATGATGTTGTGGATACATCTGTGCCACTGACATAGATTGTGAGCTTACAGTCTGGAACCATTGATTTCTCTTTTATCACATAGATCATTGAGAGCAAGAGTGAAACACTTCATTGATTGGTGTTATGGTGTAGTGTGGTTGCATTAAGCGTTCCTCCAGGATACGTAACATAAGTTTCAGCCATGTCAGTTGATCGAGTTTTACAACCTCATTAATTGACTTATATCTTCAACCTAAAACTCTACACCTGATTTCTACATTACTAACGTGGTAATGTATATAGCTGTTAATCTCTATGGCCTGTGTATATCTAAGAATCTTCTGTCGAATAGGTTAATCATGTTCACGTAAAAGCATCGTAGTACTTTACTAATAATTATCATCATAATAATCCTTTCATTGTTCAACCTTTCTCTTTTCTGGAATCTTTTTCGGATGTGATGCAACCTACAACAAGTTAAATAGAGACTGTAAATCACAGATTATTAAGGAAAATGAAGGCTGGAAAATAACTTTAGATTCGACTTATTTTAATGACTTCTTTCGTTTAGGAAGAATAAACTTACAGAACAAGTAATAACAACTAGTCGGGTTAGTCCTTCATATGTACTTCAAACTCTTTGTTTGCAACTGGTTGGCTATTATTAGCCGTTAACTGTTGATGTATACCTGTAGTTTATTGGAAATGCTTTTCGTAACGCGCTAAGTCTGTGAACCATTACATAGAAGCACTGGCTTGACTGAATTAGTGTTGAAAATCCGGATGTTGTTCACGCTTTATGCTGAGTAAAGTGGAGTGCAGTAGATCTCCACACTGATTATTTCAGATTAATGCAGGAAGGCCTGTCTTGTTTTCTTTCCGATGCTGGCTGGCTTTGACATACTCATCGGTAGCTGTGCCGCCACCTGTGGTATAATGGACGCTGCGTGCCTAGGTAGGTGAAAGAGACCACTTCCTTTAGGTTTCTCTCATTGATTCTGATCGGTGCTTGTTGTTGTTGGTTGTGAATCTTCATCACCTGTATCTTCTCTACGTTCACGTGAAGAAAGTCCCGTCTTCGCTGCCCTGCCTCATGTGCTAACTTGTTAGTTTTCTCGTGTAGATCTTCGAGTTTGTACTGCAAGACCTCAGACATAAATCATCATCGGTGAAATCCAAATCTTCTTCTAGGGTGTTTTCATCAGTCAAACAGCGTGTACCCATCTTCTTACAGCTCCTTACAGTTTCTCGCATCATCCAGTCGAGTTGAGTCGAGTCGACCACAATCCGGAAGATGATTGGTAATAGTAGGTGGCAACCTTGTCCTACTCTTGTCTTGGCAACGTTAAATATATATTCAATCCAACAAGCCACCAATAGGAAAGTTATAAATTTCGCTGCCGAAAACAAAGGATTCCAAGTTATGTGAATCATTCACTCGCTTTACTTGGCTAAGAATGTTTGTTTTACTTCTATGCAATGTTGACTATTATATTCTATTGAATATTGAATTCAAATTTTAGGATGTAGCACGTTTTCGTCCTGATTTAAAACTTCTAATTAGTTCTGCAACTTTGGATGCAGAGAAATTTGCTGCTTTTTTTGATGATGCTCCTGTATTCCGAATTCCAGGTCGTCGTTATCCAGTTGATATTTACTACACAAAAGTGAGTTTAAAAAAAAATATGTTGTATGCTTCGATTCATTATTGCATCAGTTCAGCATTTATGTGTATAATCTAAATTTTTATAGCGTATTTTGTTGATGTCCACTAGTGGAATCTAGAACGCGCGTTTCGTCCTATTTAGGGCTCGTCAGCTGAATTCACCTGCGCCCCAATGAGTGATATTCTTCCTAGTGTGACTCGAACGAAGTACCTATCGATTCAAATACCTAAACATTATTCATTGAGACATAAGGGTGACCTCTTATGCTACTTTCAGCTGACGAGCCCCAGATAAGACGAACCACACGTCCTAAATTCCCCTACTAGTCCCGCCACCAAGCAAATTACAATATAGTCAGTAATCAGGCAATATTGAGGCACATCTGGAAAGGAGATCATATGTCAACCAAGGTATATCAAGTCTATTCAGAATAACTACAAGAAATCTTGTTAGGCTATTTTCACTTCATCAATCTAGTCTATGTGTTGACTCTGTTTCTCAAAATTGATCTTCATTTGTTTAAGTAACTTTTTTTAGAAGATGAAATATCAGGGAAAAATATTTTCTATGAGACCAATCATGGTGAAATCTTAAGTCTGTGGTAACAAGGAAATGAAGTGTACAGATAGTAAATACCCGAACAATGATAATAAGAAGAATAGGGTTTGAAGTTTGATTACTGTATAGTGCTCAATATAGACATGCTTCGAGAAGGATATCTCAAAGTTCTATTGGGAGTCAGCTAGCCGGAAGTGAAACGGCCGCCAACTGAATAGCTAATGCGTTGGCTATGAAGTCTGCATGTTCTGAATTCGATCCCTAGTGAGGTGATCCCAGATCATCCTAGGACCAGGCATTACTGCGTAACTGTCCGAGTTGCCACACCTCATACCAGTACATCAAGTAAAAAGGCAGTGAGGCGCAAGATGAAGACAAGAGAATGCGGTCAAAAGAAATATAAAGTACGAAAAGAGAGAAACGAAGAATGAGAAAGTGGTAAGATTCGGTATAGTGTCGTTAAGATGAGGATAATGTGTGTATACATCTGTGTCACTGACATCGCTCCTCAGCCATATCCCCCAGTAAGTCTTCAACCACTGCTTCCTCTTGTCCCACAGACCCCAACCACCAAGTCTGTATCGCCCCTACCTTACATGGCTCAAACCAACAGTCACAGACTTCATACATTGATGCGATGTTTTAGTGTGGCGACCTCGGACCTTTTTCCAGCCTGAACCTACTTCGGCCAGTGTTGTGTGAGGGGTGAATCGGTGACTAGGCATACGTAGTACGTGTCCCAATCAGCTATCCCAGTCGATGAAGGTTCATAACCTCATCAACAGATTTACCTCTTCTCCCTCTCTAAAACTCTACACCTTACTTCTACGTTACGTGGTGACACCATGGAATTTGGCTTATGCTATACTACGACGGCAACGGTGGTCAAACACTTGAAGCCTTCTCATGTCTTCCACCTTCAATGGCCATGTTTCACAGCTATAGAGTAGAACAGACCTAACTACTGTGCAGTAAACGTGACCCTTAGTAGACAATCGGATATCACGGTAGCACTATAGATGGCGTAAATTGGCGACAATCAACCGACCTTTTGTATTCGTGCAGAAATGTCGTCGACCACTGAGCCACCAGTCCAGGGCTGATCCTACTTCTGACGTAAGTGAAGTGGTCGACACACTCAACCACTACACACTCTCTATTGTTAGCCGTGGCACAGCTGGAGACCAATCCTGGATCAAAAATTTGCATTTGGGTGGTAAGAAAAGTATCCCAAACATTCTGAAATTGCCATTCAAAGTGTTCATAAGACTCTGCATCTCATGAGTCAGCGTCTTCACCTAACAGGACTATGTGATCTGGATATTCTAGGTGTAACGGAAATTCTCGTGTGATTAGGTCAACGTCTGTGTAATCAGGTGACGAGATGGAAATTTGGATAAGAATATCTATGATAAAATTGAATAAGAATAGAGAGAGTAGACAACTTTGATGGACACCACTCGATGAGTACAGCTCACCTGACATCTCACCATAGGCTCTGGCGGGGTGACGTCGTTGATATATACTGCTGAGAAGTTTCACACTTGGACGAAACAGCTGTAAAGTTTCTAATAGTTCTCCAATCCTAATCACAGTAGAATGGGGATACTATGGTACTGAAAACCTTTTTAAACAATCAATGTAGGTCTATTTATGTGTATGGTATATGAAAGGGAAGGAGATGAGAAGCTAAATTCTTCTTTGAAGTCATTTATCAGGTTTTCTCCAGCTAAGGGACTGAGAAAGGTCGTACAAACTCTCTTTTTTTGCACACGATGACTAGGATTGTTCTCTCTAATCCCACTAGCTTCATCTGTATGTAATCTGTGAATACTAACTCCATTCGAATGATTTTGTGTAATATGATGGAGTATTTTAAACACTGGTTTTTTCTGTTGCATAATCACTGTCAACTGAATGTGACAGAAGTGAACTTCCTATTGACTTCATTTGTCTCTTTTCTAACCCACGTGGGTAGGTACTCAGTAACACGTTCCTTAAGTTGCCTAGAGATATGCTTGATATAGATTTCCCAACAAGAGTAGCTGAGTTGATAAGTATACATAGCAGTAACAAGACAGGGCAGCTTGTTTTTTGTTTGGGCAAAAATTATCCGCCGACTAGTAAAGGATAAGCAAAGATTAACAGCATAGAAGGTTCTTTAGATGGTTGTAGACAGACTCTGGAATAGAACTTCACCAAATCTGACCCCATTAATATGGAACTTCATGAGTGACGTAAGATTCAGTGAGGAGACTCCTTCTGGCGGTTTCATTCACCGTACTGTATACAGTCATACTTATATACAATCCTCTTTTTCTCTTGAGAATGTACAATTTATTTAATTTGTGTGTGTGTGTGTGCGTGTGTGTGTGAAATCGGTTTGTTGAGCATGCCAACAATCAAAATAAGTAACACAGTCACTGGAGAGTCACCAATTTCATGTTATCTATTCTTGAATGAAGACCGAATTCTGTAATCCTCGCGGTACACACTGATAGATGTTAGTTGGTTAGAGGCAGTCGGAAAAAAGCCTTGGATCTAGGTTATGTGGCTGTTAGCACTCGTCAGAGAGGCGTATCTACGACCTCGACGGAACCGATGTCCCCACTGAGATTGGAACTAACATCACCTAGTCTTTTAGGCAGCGACGTCACCACTGAGCTATCGGATGGTGATTGACCTCGTGTAGTACGTAGAACTAGATAACATGAAGTTGGTCAGTTGCAACCCGAACAGTGCTGATAATAATATCCAAGAAATGGGTAGAACTAAAGAGTTGGAAGAGACGGTGGGAGGGTTGTTCCGAAACGCCTAGGATTAAGGCCATGAAAGGAGTATGAGTTGAAAAAGTATCTTCTATATGCAAATTCCAAAGTTTTCTAGTTGAATTACTCAACCTTCAGTAATACAAAGGAGGCTGATGACTTAATAAATAACTCTGAAAGAAAAGGTTGAGATTGAATGACCATTATCGACAAGGTGTTTCTCTGCTAACTCTTCATAACTGCTTAGGATAGTGTTATTCAACTGTTGTGAAAACGACCGGCGTGAACTGACCGATATGCCCAGTTCTATAGGAGCATTTGAACTGATATACACACAAAGGTGGCAAGGTGCGAAATTTGCCGTAGTTTGGCAGACTGGTATTTATACTGGATGATGATTGAAGGTGAGATGAAAATCTGAATCACGACCGGATTCGAACCTGCTGCCATCGGGTTATTATTAGTGTGTAATAGGTGACTACGAAATGCCTCTCTCAAAGTCTTTACAAGGAGAGAGAGAGAAGAGTAGCTCTTGTCTAACAGATATGAGTGGTTATTTCATGGGTACTTGTAATATTCGATTGCTATACTTGGTCGAATCGCTCTACTTTAATAAGCATAAATTCATAAAAGTATCAGTCCATGATGAACACACTAACCTGAAATCAATCAATAAATCCCCATAAGTCTCCAAATTGAATTAATTTAGTGCTCATTGAATGACTGACTAGCTTCGAGAGATGATTCCCGAAGTTCTGATTACAAGTCGTGACGACAGGTAATCATCAATGGCATTAGATGGAGGTAGTGCTGTATCGCGAAGTGACAGAAGTAGGAAATATGGACCATTAGATGCCGATGCAGTGGCTCAGCCGTTGTATCGACGTGCAATCGCAAAAATGTGCTAAAATTGACCTTTTACTTGTAAGTAGTATATCTTACTAACATGGAATAAAGTTTATCGTACAGTTGACCAGTTTTCCATAATGATTACTAACCGTTTCATATTCCTCAGAATAACACATGGGATTAATAGTGATTTTCATCATAACATTATAAATAATTTCTTCATTATCATTTTTATTATCTGAGACAGATTTCCAGTATTTATACTGGGCGATTATTGAAGGTGAAATGAAGATTTAGACCGCGGTTGGGTTCGAACTCTCGATGACCGGGTTTCCGGTGGCTATGAAGCCTCGTAGTCCAGTTAGAAGAACATCGGACCTGTATCCTGGTGGTCGCTGGTTTGAATCCCACCACGGTCTAAATTTCGAATCAAACCTTGACTTCCAATGGAAGACTGTTGCAAAATATTCTTCTTGATGATGTTATCTCCCAGTGTTCCCAAAAATACACATGCACTGACAGATAAACCTTTCGGCTCTAGTGACAATAAAGGGGGACATTTTGTTCCCAGTACAAAATCATGAGTAATACCAAGTTGGTTGTCATATGAGTGAAAGTACACGAAATGTATTCATCAAAGCTTGTAGAAAGATAATGAACTTTTCAAAAGACAAGAAAAGATAATTCGATGAAGAAAATTCTTCCCATTTCGATGATGTCATTTTCTAAACCTGTAAAATTGTCTTTATACATTTACATATATCATAAATATAATAGTTCGATCCCTGGTGGAGTCATAGGTGTGTACAGCTAAGGAGCCCATACTAGGGAGAAGCAGCTACCCAATGATTTTCCAGCTGATATCATTCTGTGATAATTACAATCTTAAAATGTTACAGTTTGTTATTGAACAATAGTTTATAGTTGCATCATTAAGTTAGAGGTAAAAATGAAATCAAGGCTGCTTAGTGATCTATTACACAATGAGAATAACGAAGAAGGCAGAGTGTTTGACAAGGTGAAAATTGCTGTTAGATGTGAAATACAAAGACAGATACATGGAGGCTGATAGATGAGAAGAGGATGGTGAAGCAGAAGATAAACCAGTGCAAGGATGCACAACGACAAGAGGAACTGAGTACAATGTATAAAACACTGGACAAAGAAGTGAAGAAGAGTGTACGGAAAGACAAAAGACACTTCTACGACACACTGGCAAGTGAAGCAGAACAGGCTGTAGGTAGGAGAGGTAGAGACCTGACAACATTGTATCAAATAACCAGGTTGCTATCTGGGAAGAGATCAACGTAGATGAAACCAATAAAAGATGATGATGGAAATTTAATAACGAAAGGAGAAAAACAGAGGGAAACGATGGGCCGACCACTTCAAGAAGCTGTTGAATCGACCACCACCACCACCTGCACTTCGTCCAGAAATACCACTTGCAGCCGCTGAACTACAAGTGAACATAAATCCTCCAACAAAAATGGAAGTCCTGAACACCATAAAGCTACTGGAATGCGGAAAAGCAGCAGGACCAGACGGGATCCCGCCAGAAGCACTGGAAACAGACGCAGAGACAACAACGGACATGCTCACATCACACCACTACTGCCGAAGCTGTGGAAGGAAGGGAGGGTACCTGCCCATTGGAAGAAGGGTTACCTTGTCAAGCTGCCGAAGAAGGGAGACCTGAGTGTTTGCAAGAACTGGCGCGGAATCACTTTCCTGTCCACCCGAAGCAAAATATTAGGCCACATCATCCTGGAGAGACTAAAGGATGCACTGGATTTCAAACTACGACCGGAACAGGTTGGCTGGATTCAGGAAGTACAAATCATGTGCGGACCGAATTGCGACGCTTCGCATCATCATAGAACAGAGCATAGAATGGCAGAATGGCAACTCTCTACCTCAACTTCATTGACTTTGAGAAGACTTTTGACAACGTTGACCGAGAGGTAATTCTGAAACTTCTTCAGTACTACGGAACACCACATACCTTTATCAGCCTCATTCAAAAAGTATATGGAGACGCCACATGCCAAGTAATTCACAGTGGGAAGCTCAGTGATGTCTTTGAAGTGAAGACAGGAAGGAGTGAAACAAGGCTGTCTACTATCGCACATGATATTCCTGATTGTGGTCGACTGGACTGTATCGTGCGAGAAACAGTGGTGAGCGAGAAGAGGGTGATACGGTGGCTGGACGGGGTAAAAGAACCTAGAATATTTGTATTTCGCCAGTGATGACTTGTGTCTGATGTTGCACAAACTTGAAGATCTACAGGCGAAAACTAAGAGGTTGACAGAAGAGGTAAGGCAAGGCAGGGCAGGGCAGTGAAGACGGGACTTCAAGTGAATATAGAGAAGATGGAGGTGATGAAGATACCCAACCAACAACTCCAACAACAACAACGAGCACCAATGACCATGAATTGGAGAAACTTAAAGGGAGTAACCTCCTTCACCTATCAAGGCATGCAGCACTGTTTCAACTACAGGTGGCGGGACAGACGAGGATGTCAAAGTCAGCCAGTGATCGAAAAAGCAAGACAGGCGTTCATTAGCCTGAAATCAGTGTGGAGATCTTCTGCACTGCACTCAGCATAAAGCGTGAACAACATCGGGATTTTCAACACTAACGTCGAATCAGTGCTTTCATGTCGTGGTTGAGAGACTTGGCGCGTTATGAAAGGAATTTCGAACAAATTACAGACATTTGTGAACAACTGCGTACGCTGGCTCGTTACTAAAGCTTAGATGGCTAGAATAATAAGAATAAGCAACAAGGAACTGTGTGAACGAACCAACCAAGAACCTATCGCTCAACAAATATGCAGAAGCAGAGAGTGCAGGTGGATTGGGCATGTACTGAGAAGGCCGATTGGGGACATCAGGTGTCAGGCCAGTTGCTCGAGTGGAACCTCGATGGAAAGAGACGAGTTGGGCATCCGAGGTGATGGTGACATGGAGGAGATCTTGTGAGGAGGAACTGAGAGCTTGTGGGTTGTCGTGGAGCCAGGTTCAAAATATTTCAGAGGAGAGAGTGCACTGTAGGCGTGCTACTGAAGCTATATATATATATTCGGAGTCGACTATGAATGTCCGATTAAGAGCGAAGGCGGATGGAACTGTGAAAAGAAGTGTATATCGGAAACCAACGTGGAAAGGTCAGTACACTCACTTCTCGAGTTTCGTCCACAAAATGTTTGGTATATCGAACATGACTCATGTGTTCAGATGATACTTTTGATGAAGAGCTTCAAATTATCCATGATCTTTTCAGTATTAATGGATATCCGGAAACGTTTCTGGTTAAGTATATAGACACGTCTAATATGAAAACCAGAATACCAACAATCTCTGAGAAACCATGATTCCCAAGACTACACTCTCTAGGTGATGTCATCAGCGAAATTGTGACAGCGCCTAAGAAATGCTGTATATTCTACAGTCGGTTGAACTAAAGACAGATTATCTGATTTCTCCTCGCCTATGTGCATTTATCAGTTCAACTGCTGCTGTGGAGTTAGTTACATTGGACGTGCAGTTAGACAAGTCCGTCATCGAATCACCGAGCATCATCTTTCATGACTAGGTAAAGGAGGGGCAAACCAGATCGATAGGAAGCTCAATACTCTATCATCTGATTGACACTGGTCACTGAGTTTAAAATGCCAGTTTGTTGTTTGATTCGTCTTCAGTTGTGGATTTGATGTTGTCGAGTCTGATAGTACTGTGCTATGGATAAGAGGGGTGTGTTGTAGGCGGTTAACCTTCATCCTGTGATTAAGGATTCAAATTCAGCCCCACCTATTGAGATTTGAATAGACTGACTCACTGACTGATAAAATCGACGTAGTACCTCACATACAAGTGTGTCAGCACTTCAAAGTAGTATATAAAGAAAAAGTGAGTAGGAAGTTGTGTGAGAGAATAAACGGTCAGTGTGAATATTCAAGCTTTAGAAGACATCAAGGGTTGAATACATCTGTACCATTCTAACCGATTTTCAGCCATATCACCAAGAATGACTCAATCCTTAGCCAGTGGTTTCTTTCGTCTTGGGGACCTCAACCAGTCATTTTACATCTTCTCAGGGTTAATAGTGAGGAACTTCATTGACTGACCACCGTGAATTCTCTTTCCCAGCCTAATCCAACTTCTGTAAGTATTCGACGTGAAGATAGGTAGACGATAGCAGTATGAATAGTGCTCACTCGTTATATATATATGGTCTTAGCCTTGTACACAAAGCTTTACATGGTTATTGTAAAGTTGTTCTCTTATCTACTCTACCGTTTGATTTGTCATCATGTTACATATCTCTATCCCACTTGTCTTAAAGTAATGATCCAGTTATTGTTATTGTTGTTTAGGCTCCAGAAGCTGATTATATTGAAGCTGCTATTATATCTGTCTTGCAAATTCATGTAACTCAACCACCTGGTGATATTCTAGTCTTTTTAACTGGTCAAGAAGAAATTGAAACTGCTAATGAATTACTCATGGAACGGACAAGGAAATTAGGCAGTAAAATTCGAGAACTATTAGTCTTACCAATCTATTCTACACTTCCGTCTGATATGCAGGTAAAATTTTGCATTCATAACCTTTTGCCTATCTATCTATGAATGGCTTTTATCTAAATTGTCTTGTTTGTTAATGTGTTCACAAACCTCAGCATATCACATAGATGTTAGGAAATATGGAGTCGTCAATTTATGCGATCTCATACTGACAGTCTTTGCTTAACACTCATATGATCAGCAAGATTTTTCATGAATGATGTCTGCTTCGATATGCTGGATGACTTGGTGGTAGGCGGCACACGTGGACTGCGTAAGTGTTAGAATACGAGAGAGTGGAATTCCTGGGATTCACTGTGATTATTGACTACACGGCTTCTTGTTTGCCTGCACACTCGTCAAATCGTCACATACTATGATGAGGAATCAAAACATGAAGCAGTCGACTGATGGATGGACCAAGACTTACTTCAACTTGCCATACTTCATGACGGTATACAAAGAAAATAGATGGATAGAAAAAGATTGATATCAAGGGAGACAAGGGTGAATGGAAAGAGAAAGATGAGTGGGAATATTCATACATTAGAAAATGTCAAAGAGTGGAGACATCTGCGCCATTGTCTCATAAATTTTCAGCCGTGTCACCAAGAGTTTGAAACCATCGATTCCTATGGTTTCGAAGACGTATCCGGACAGTTTATATCTCCTCATATGATTGAAACGAAAGGCCAGAGATTTTGTGGATAACTGCTATGTTTTGATCTTTGCACCCTAAATCGTCTAACCATATCCTACTTTGGGTAATATTTCATATTGACAAAGTGTTGGTGACTCAGTATACTCAACATATATCGAAGCCACCTGAGTTTATGAATATTCACAACTTCATTGACCGACTTTCCTTCCCTTTCCTATATTGTGTAACCGAATGGAATTACGGGCGTGGGTATAGTGATACTGAGAATCAATAGAAGAAGACGTTTTTCTCCGAAAAGGACTGAATTACAACACAAGAGATGCCTCCAAACCAGATTTCTGTGAGGCATTAGAATTGTCACCTAAAACATCAGGATTAAATGAGGCCACTCAACAAGAATTACGGTAAATAATCGTACCACTGACCAGGTAGATGAAACATCACGCTCAAATGAACACTCGAGAACAGAAAACATTAAAAAGAGTGAAAAATAGGAAAGACATCGTTATACTTCCAGAAGACAAAAGACATGGACAAAGAAGACTATATCAAGAAGGCAGAGGAATTACTCAAGGACAAAAATGTATATCAACTACTTGAAACCAACCCTATCCAGAAGTTTGACAACCAGATCAATAAAACCTTGAACAAACTCTTCAAAGCAGAAGAAATAACAGAGCAAGACAAATGGAGAATGAAATCGAATGGACCTGTCCTTCCTCAGTTCTACGACGGACCAAAAATACACAAACCAGACATCCTTCTACGACCAATTGTCTCACTTCCAGGAACTCCAGCATAACATATGAAGAGAACTTTCGAGAAAACTGAAACACTTTGTTCAATCATGCGGACATTCCATCGAGCCATCAACGGAGTTGTTAGAAAAGATCAAAAACATTAACATAGAAAACGATGAATAATGGTATCCTTCGATGTCACAGCACTCCACGCATCCACTGAACCCCAATTGGCCAAGGAAACGATGTTCCTCCTGCTCCATGAAGACACGAGCCTTACAGAACTCAGAAAACTTAAATGTTATAGGTCTGATGGAACTCATCTACCTTTGTCTGACAACATACTTCCAATTCAACGGCGAGATATACAGACAGATGAATGGAACTCCAATGAGAACACCGATATCCGGACTAACTACAGAAGCAGTGATTCAGAGACTGGAAGCCATCATCGTACCTGTGACCAAACAAAACTCTGGATTCGCTATATGTGGACGACACTTTTGTCATCATTGAAAAAGATGATATAGAAAATACTCACAGTTTGATCAACAACGTTTTCAATGGCATCAAATCCACAATGGAGAATGAGTCAAACAACCAACTACCATTCCTGGATGTTCTGGTCAATAGAACGAATACGGGGAGGGTGGAGACCCAAATATACAGGAAGCCAACACACTGACCAAGTTCTCAACTACAGTGGCAGCATCCCGACAACCCACAAGATGAGTTGTGTGCAGACTCTATCAGAAGAGCGAGAACAGACTGCAGTACAACAGCTTCACGGAGAAAGGAAGAAAATTACTTGATGCCTATCTAAAGAAGAACAGCTAGGTACCCACGAAACTTTATCAGAAGATGCCTATCCCGTACATCATCAACTACAAAGTCACTGACAGAAATCAATAAACGCATCACAGCACCATACATAAAGAATAGATCAGAAATCACAACAAGATTACTGAAACTACTTGGAATTGGTGAGGCTCATAAATCAACAAATTCCCTCCAAACACCACCATACAGACCGAAGAATGCGACAAGCAAACAAGACAAACCGAATATCATTTACAAAATGAAGTGCAGTAATTGTCGTCAACACTACATTGGACAAAGTGGTCACCCTCTTCACTTTCATCATTTACACATGAACACCAATTGGCTATTAAACATCACGACATTTCGTCAGTCATTTCGATGCAGGTGGATAACAACTATGGACATGAATTGAATTTCGACAATGTAGAAATCTTTGATGGAGAGAGGAAACACAAAGAATGTCAGATAATTCCTAGAAGCTTGGGATTCAGATCAGTCAGTCAGCAATCAATAGGTGTATAGACATAGACCCAATCTATCAACCAATGAGAGAAATGATAAACGACAGAAAGGTGAGAGGTGAAGCAGAGGAACAGCTAACAGGATAATCTGTGCAGTCAGTCAATGACACAATAATCAAAGGAAACAACCAGTCACAAAGCAGTTCGTCAGGACAATCTACTAAATCAGTGATGGAGAGATATTGACAGCTGACTTCATACTGAAGTTAGTGGTGATGATGATGTTGTCTAGGAGAGAGACGATGAAAGCTTCACGATTAAACAACTCAGTTTCTCAGAGAACACAATACAACCAAGATCTACTGGTCAATTGATACAGTGAAGGTAGAATCGTTTTGATTCTTCTCTCTTTGACTAATCACTTGTAAGTTCAAGGGAAACTGGTTTAAGATCGTGAAAATTCTTTTTCTGAGTCATTCAGCTCCTTGTATTGAATAGGGAATAGCGTTAGGAATTTCATTATTTCACTTACGAATTTATCCTTATTTGTATTGAATTTTAGGCAAAAATCTTTGCTCCAACACCACCTGGTGCACGAAAAGTTGTCTTAGCAACAAATATAGCTGAAACATCGCTTACAATCGATGGTATTATTTATGTGATTGATACAGGATTTTGTAAACAAAAATTTTATAGTGCACGTTCTGGTGTAGAATCATTGATAGTTGTACCGATATCACAAGCTGCAGCTGATCAAAGAGCTGGACGGTGAGCGCTATCTTGTTATTGTTGTTCTAGATACTTTGTTTCCAGAATGCTTGTGAATAAATGTACATTGATTGTCTACGCGGTTGAACACTGCTTTAATTAATAGATTTCAGGAGAGTTGACTTTCATTCTGTGGTTTACACGGTCCGGGTAATCATCATAATAGGGACCAGGTGTTACTGTATTACCTGGCCAAGTTGTCACACCCCCTCACATATCAGCACAATAGATAACAAAGCAATAAGATGAGAGATGAAAATACAAGGAAGTATCGATCAATAACAGTAAGAGAGTGGAAGGGAGAATTGTAAAACTGCTTAATTTAGAATAGTATTTAAGATGATGATGATGTGTGTATACGTCTCCGCTACTGACGTTCATTCTGAGCCATCTTATTCGGAATCTCCAACTGCTAGTTTCTGTTGTCACTTGAACACCAACCAACTAACCTGCATCACCCAACAATCAAGGACTTAACACAGTGATACCATTTCATAGTCTGTTCACCTTGACCCTTTTTCCACCCTAGTCCTACTTTACCTAACATTGTGCGACGAAACAGAAGGTAACTAGGCCTACGTGTCACATGACCAATTAGGTAGTATCGCTGATTGCCTACTACATGAGTGTACACAACACTGTTGAGAGGATTTCGACTTCAAGATACAACACAATACAGAACTTTTCACGAAGATGTTACAGTCTAACTTGTTATTCTTTGAAATATCTCCTTAGCAGGAGATTAACAGAAATACAGAAGATGTATTAAAACTAGACTAAGGGAGGAGATGAATGGAAGCAGACTAAATCAATACGAATTCTTATAGGAGGTGAGACAAAAAAGGTAATAGGCGACGAAGGCAGTCGATAACGTTATGAACCTTCATCGACTGAGGTGACTGAGACATGTACTGTGCATACCGAATCACCGATCACCTCAATTTGCCTTTTTACAGGAAGCTGAACTGGTTTGTAAGAGGGTTCACGGTGCCTAGACCAAGACTTGGCACCATTTTATGAACTCTCTGACTGCTGGTCTGAGACGTGTTAGGAGATTGGGTTTACTGAGATGATAGAAATCAGATTGTTTATTCTCCCACACAACTTTCTCTCCTTTGATATCGTTCTTATTCTATTCACTTTTTCTTTATACACTACTGTGAAGTGCCAGAACTTGAGCCGTAGTGGTGGTTATTTTGTTACTTGTGTTATTTGAATACTGAATTGTTCAGGTATATGCAGCACATCTACAGAAGACTAGTTCCTCTTGATTTACCTGAAAGAGAAGGGAGAGTGTATGAGACTGTAGAGCCCAAAGAACATCTACTTGAGGTTGGTCACATATCGCAGTTGTGAGATTTTGTTTCTTTGCTTTTGTATCGGACTACGAATCCCTGTTTTAGACATCGGGATGTCGCGAGGGCTGGGAGTGTGCTATTCTGTGCGCCAACCTTTTCTAGCCACCCTCTTTCCCATAGGGAAGGGATCACGAATGTGGCACTATGGATCATCCAAAGGAGACACCTTACTCCTGTCTCATTCCATTCAGCTAGCAGCATGCCTTCACCCTCGGATCCCCATGATAGCGTAGCGATTTACACTTTTTGTCTAACCACTACCCAACTAACTTTTCTTGACCTCGAAGGAACAGCATAGATCCTTAGGTCATTGTGATATTCGAGCCCGACTACCACGTCATGGTAGCAGCTACCGGTCAGAGATAGAGGATGCGAAAAGGCTTCAGGTGTTCGACCAAGTCCACTCTGGAAAAAGACTCAAAGTGGACAGACTACACCTTGATAACAGTCTATGAAGTCCTTGCCTGTTAGTTTGAGCTATGTAGAGGAGGATGGAGACTAGCCAGTTGGGGTCAAGGTGTCAACAGAAACCAGTTGTTGGAGACTCGAGATGAGACGGCTGAGAATCTATGTCAGTGATTTTGATGTATCCATACACTAACTTCATCTTGATCGCTTTACTGAATTCAGCATTTTCTCATCCCTCTCTTTTAATACTTCTTATTGATTTTGACTGATTCCTCTCTCTCTCTCTCGTCTTACAGCTTTGTTACTCGTGGTGATATGTGGGGTGTGGCAACATGTTGGTGACTGGCAGTGGAATCCATGACGCGCGTTTCGTCCTATATAGGACTCGTCGGCTGGATGCACCTGCGCCCCATTGGGTGGTGTTGTTCCCACTGAGATTCATACACGGTACACATGACACTCATTTTCAAGTAATAGTTTGTGAACCACATTTAATGTGTTAAGGATATATGATATCACCTAAACACCCGGACCGAAGTGAATTTCGGTTCGAACTTTGGATTCATTGCTTGAAACGTGAGTCCCTAAGTTGATGACCAAATGACTCATTATACTAATTGGTCATCAAGACAGAAGTGTGATCAAGTTGATAACTTCAGGCTTTTTTGTATTTCCTGCTTTCAAACAGACAGACAAAATCAAGGTAGAACCTTGCACACAAATGAGGCATCGGTCCCATTTGTCACACTTCACAGTGGGATATCAAAGTAGATAAAAGTGTATGTGAAAGGTGAGCGAAATTAAAAACTAAGGTTGGTTAAAACATTTAAGCTTTTCATATGTTATGTAAGTTTTGTTTGTGGTGACAGAGGGTAATTTTGATCGTGTTTTGTTCTCTGAGCTGGATTGTTCAATCCTGAAGTTTTCATTGTCACTTTAGACAACATCTTCAGCACAAACTTTAGGAAGAAGTGAGTGATAAGGTGTTCTACGCAACTTATTTAGTAGCTTGTGCTGATAGCCTTGCGTACGATTGGTTGCTTTTGCTATGGTCTTGTCATTGTCTGCATATTTATTTTGATTGGTTGTCTTGATGACCTGAAATTTGACCTTGTTTCTTATTGGGTGATAAACTGGGTTAGTGTTAATATATCTGTTGATCGCTGACTAACCTGCAAACAAAGTTTCTAAAAATTGTTTGTATGCATTATTGACATGAACGAAGTTATGTCGTGACAACCAATCAAAATGAACATGGAGATAACGACAAAACCTTGGCAGAAACAACCAATCGCACACAAGGCCATCAATACAAGCTATTAAATAAATTGTCTAGATCTTATCACTCACCTCTTTCTGAAGTTAGTGCTGATGATGCTGTCCAGAATGATGATGAAAGCTGTACAATTTAGCCATCCAGTTCAGAGAACTCAACGCTGTTTAGTTTATTTTTTCCTACTCACTCTGTGCATGCTTCTCATCTCTTTTTCTTTCCTTTTAATCTAGTGCTGGTCGTGTAGCTGCAGGCAAATGTTTTCGTCTGTACACTTCACATGCATATCATACAGAATTAGAGGCACAGCCTATTCCAGAAATACAACGTACAAATTTAGGCAATGTTGTCTTATTGTTGAAATCTCTCGGTATTGATGATCTATTACACTTTGATTATATGGATCCACCACCTCATGATGCATTAATTATGGCATTGGAACAGTTATATGCTTTAGGTGCATTGAATCATAAAGGTGAATTAACTAAAATGGGTCGTCAAATGGCTGAGTTTCCGTGTAGTCCACAATTATCAAAAATGATTTTAGCCTCAGATAAGTGAGTCTTGATCAAATTTTGATAAACATCACCATATTCACTTTATCCCAGTTATGGGTTTTACATGCTTAACAGGTTGTGACTTTTCATAGTTTCAAAGTAGTATTTGTCACAATCGCATCATCATGGAGAGACTAAAGGATGCACTGGATTCAAAACTACGACCGGAACAGGTTAGATTCAGAAAGTACAAGTCATATGCGGACCAAATTGCGACGCTTCGCATCATCATAGAATAGAGCATAGAATGGCAGAATGGCAACTCTTTACCTCACCTCAACTTCATTGACTTTGAAAAGGCCTTCGATAGTGTCGACCGAGAAGTGATTTGGCAACTGCTTCAACACTACGGAATACCATTAAGCTTGATCAACTTCATTCAACAGCTATATAAAGATGCTACATACCAAGTGATCCACAATGGGAAGCTCAGTGATGCCTTTGAATTGAAGACAGGAAGGAGTGAAACAAGGCTGTTTACTATCACACATGATATTCCTCATTGTGGTCGACTGGACCATGCAGCAAACAGTGGGAAGCGAGAAGAGGGGGATACGCTGGACTGCGGAAAAGAACCTAGAAGATCTGGATTTCGCCGATGACTTGTGCCTGATGTCACACAAACTTGAAGATCTACAGGCGAAAACTAAGAGGTTGGCAGAAGAGGTAAGGCAAGGCAGGGCAGCGAAGACGAGACTTCAAGTGAATATAGAGAAGATGGAGGTGATGAAGATACCCAACCAACAACTCCAACAATAACAACAACAACAACGAGCACCAATGACCATGAATTGGAGAAACTTAAAGGAAGTAACCTCTTTCACTTACACCTACTCAGGCAGCACTGTTTCAACTACAGGTGTCACAGGCACAGATGAGAACTTCAAAGGAGCCGGGATCGGAAAAGACAGCAGGATAGGCGTTCATTAGCCTGAAATCAATGTGGAGATCTTCTGCACTGCACTCAGCATAAAGCGTGAACAACATCGAGATTTTCAACACCAACATCAAATCAGTGCTTCCATGTCATGGTTGAGAGACTTGACTCGTTATGAAAGGGATTTCAAACAAATTACAGAAATTCATCAACAACTGCCTACGCTCGACACTGAAGATCAGATGGATTGTCAGAAAGAATAAGTAACAAGGAACTGTGTGAACGAACCAACCAAGAACCTATCGCTCAACAAATATGCAGAAGCAGAGAGTGCAGGTGGATTGGGCATGTACTGAGAAGGCCGATTGGGAACATCAGGTGTCAGGCCAGTTGCTTGAGTGGAACCTCGATGGAAAGAGACGAGTTGGGTGTCCGAGGTGAGGGTGACATGGAGGAGATCTTGTGAGGAGGAACTGAGAGCTTGTGGGTTGTCGTGGAGCCAGGTTCAAAATATTTCAGAGGAGAGAGTTCACTGTAGACGTGCTTCTGAAGCCTTATGTTCCACTGGGAACCCAAGGGATAAATAATATTCATAATTTGTCACGATCTGACATCTTTTAGTAATAATAATAATTATAATAATGGCTTCATTCTGAAAGGTATTTGGAGAATAGTCTACAGAATTTTCAGCATGTCATATAGCATCATTTGGACAGAGACAATGTTTATGTTTTTGGGCGTCCGAGGGTGATATCGAGGAGATGGTGTTAGGAAGAAATGAAAGCTTATTAGCAGTCGTGGAGCCAGGTTCAAAAGATTGCAGCGAAGAGAGTGCAGTTGATGAGTCCTACCGAAGCCCTATGTTCCACTAGGAACGTAAGAGATGAATAATAATAAAATGTTTATGTATACACAGCAAAATGAAATGAGTGAACAATTACATGATGAAAAGATAAGAATAATAACTCCATCTACAGGTTTCATTCAAAATGTACAATCAGTTTAGGTAGACAATCACATTAGTAATTCGATTCGTAATACGTAAAATGTAATACGCTCATCTTCAGTTGGTTTGCTTTCAGGAACAGAAGCCGATTAGTTAGTTCATTTCTAATACTTTCTTCATCATACATCAGATGAGGTAAATACGATGTTGTAGAGTTTTTATATTATGTAGTACGTGCATAAAGTTTTGCATACTTCCTTCTTGTCTTTCCAGATGACTGACACGCTTAGAGCTTTGAGTGAAAAAGATGTTGGTCATCTGAAAAAATAACTTCTTCCAGATGTCTATATGAGTTAATATGTTTGTCCATAACTGTTTTAACTAGAAGGTTTAGAGGCATACCACTAGTTCTGCTAACAATATTCAAATTTCTACGCAATATAGCATAGTCTTTTTTCAGCAACCCTGGAAAGAATTAGGGAGAACAATAGAGGAGAACTGGTAAGATGTAAGAGTACATAAAACACAAGTGGAGAGGCTTAGTAATACCAGATACTCTTGTAACATTCCCTAATGCATAACTATCAACAGAATAGGAATCATGAGAACACTAAACAGTTTACATAAGTTGTATTCACGTCTAGAAATAAAGTTTATGGTCTGATATTTTGAGGAATTTAGCTTAAAACTATTCTCGGAGGACCGTCGTCTAACAGTAGGTAGGCAATCATTCAGTTAGAAACAATCTTCTGAAGAGGAGACAGGTATGAAAACTGTCAGTTCAACAGCATATTTAATGAAATTGATGCCAGCTGAAGATGGTAAGTCACGCAGAAAGAATGAGAAAAGACATGGGGAAAGGATGGCTCCTTGGAGAACTGCAGTCACAGTAAGCAATGAGGTGGAGTGCTTCCCTCTGTGAACAGTGAATTGTTTCCTTTCATAGAAACAGGGATATAGCCAGTTGATTATCCAGGACTCAGTATTTATCCCGGTTAACTTGTCCATCACAAGAGGTCTTGTGACAGAATCAAATGTTGAAGTACAGTCTAAAAAGACATACCTGATATACTTAACATTTCTATGAAGATTACAAGCAATACTGTGGTATAAGACAGTGGTGGCATTTAGAATGCTTTTGCTATTGTGTGCCAGTTGATTAGGGTCTTGGAAAGCTTTCAGTGAAGGTTCAGAGACACGTATTATTGGGTTCTCTATTATTTTCAAGGACGGAGAAATATCTCCAATCTGATGGAGTTCCGGACATGACCCTAGAGTCCCTGACTCAGCTACGGGGACTATCTTATTATCTTTCCAGGCAGCTGGTATGTTGTTTTCTAAAAATGACCTGTTGAACATGTTAGCTAACAGATAGCATAAAATGTCAGCACACTTCGTGAATACGAAGCTTGACATATCATCCGGACCTGAACTGTGAGAACGGTTCAGGAATTTGAGACATTTGAAAGCATCTTTCGCGATGAACTCTGATCAACGTTCTACATTGCGCATATGTAGACAAATTGGGATGGGACAAGTGGGCTGACGTACAAACCGTTTGTTCAAGTCACAGACATCGACATGTGCTTCTTTACTAAGGTGTTTACTACCACTGAGGTCTTTAAAAAGTTTCCAAATGCTGGGACAGCCTTTGCATGACAAAAATTTCTGGTTGTATAGTAGATTCAGATGTTTAATTTCCAACCTAGTTAAAACGTTCAGTCGACGAGCACCAGCATTATCACTTACTTTATTTAGTCTTTCTTTTTCTCTTCTTAGTTTCTGAAGCTGGGGAAAAGATATACGATCGAAGCATGGAAAAAGCTTTGCACTGGGGCAAGAGATGTATCCAGGCAGAATTTGACATAGCATGTCATACCACCAATAGTAGCGTTCAAAACATCGCTGTGAAACATAGCCATCGAAGGTAGAGGAAATGAGAAGGCTTCAGGTGTTTGACCACTGTTGCCTTCGTAGCATAAGCCGTATTGCGTGGTGTCGCCACACGAGTAATGCAGAAGTGAAGTGTAGGGAGAAGAGGTGAGTCAGTTGACACGATTGTGAACCTTCATCGACTGAGATGGCTGGCTGGCTGGCTGGCTGCAGGGACATGTGTTACGTATGCCTAGTGTTAAGTCACCGATTGCCTCGTCACACAATGTTGGTGGAAGTAGGTTGAGACTGGTAAAAGGTTCGAGGTGGCCAGCCTAAAACAGGGGATGAATGTATGAAGTGTTTGACTGTTGGTTTGATTCATGTTGGGGAGGGTGGGGGGTGATGCAGACTAGCCAGTCGGTTGTGGTGTGTGGGACAAGAGGAGCCAGTGGTTGGAGACTGACTGACTGTAGGTGATGACATGGTTGAGAACCGATGTCAGTGGTGGAGATGTATACCCACGCACATTATCCTGATCTTAACGCTATGACGAATCTGACCATTTTCTCACCCTTCGTTTCTCTCTTTTCGTAGTTGATATTTCTTTTGACTGAGTTTTGTTTTGTTCATCTTCCCTTTGACTACATTGTCTACTTGATGTACTGAGTGATATGAGGTGTGGCGAGTTGGACTGTTAGGCAGTAATGCATGGTCCTATATTGGTGATGATTGAGAATTTCAAGTATATGTGACCCAAAATGTATCAATGGGTATTGATGAAAGTAGATATTCCACCCCTACTTTTCTTGCTAGGGATACATCGATCTCGACGGAAAATTTCGAAGTCATTCAGTAGAGCCATATTGTCATCATAAAGTTCATGTAACCAAGTTTCTTGTTGCGTAATCACTCCATTATTACGTAATGATGTAATAGATTGTAAGTAATCTACTTTTCTCTAGAGTGACCTTCAGTTCGTGCTTATAGTTTCAAGCGGAGTCATTTGAGATAAGATGTTTCGCTTCAAAGCATGTTGACATTCGCCGTGATGCTTTTTCCTATGTGTTATTGGCATAACAGAAGGCCGTAAACTTTTTAAAAATGTTCGTGAATATAGAATACGATCAGAGAACATAATAGAATGATTAAAACGAACAAATCTGTAGAAAAATTTGATATGATATGACAGATAGAAAACTAAGTAACTTAGATATTCAAGGAGGCCGCAATCATCGACTCCGTGGGAGAACTGAACAGGTGTGCATCCATGACCCCACAAGAGTTCTAACTCATGACCTTCACCTTCCGCGACCAGCCACAGCGAATTTCGCAGTCCAATGCTACACCACTTCTTACTTCTATCAATTCATTCTCACATTCGATTTAGTTGGCTCCACCGTCCACAACTACTCATTACAACTTCGATTCGAGTGAATTTCTGTCAGATACTTGGATATATTCAATAGGGTGTGGAACTGTTGCACATTGGTCTCGCTTGTCACTAGTTCGAGTCCTGTTCCACATCTGCTGGCTGATGACAATCGTGATTTACTGTTTAGTCCAAATAACTGCAACTGTCCATTGAGTTGTACATTCAGCAGATTGAAAGTTTCATTTGAATGACAACCCACAGAAGATATATATGCGTTGTATTTAAGTAAGTGATAGTCAACCAAGTATCCTAATCTGATTGATTGTTACGTAACATTCTATAAGTGAAAGATCCAAACCACACTTTTCAATTGGAGTCTACTTTGTGGGTGACACTGGAATCCAGGATGTGTGTTTCGTCCTATTCAGACTCGTCAGCCCAGTGTTTCTAGGCTCACCATTGAGACTCGAACCCAGAATCCATCTCTTCAAATACCAAAGCATTACCCGTTAAGCCATTAAGAGACACGAGGCATTGCTTATTGATTTCTGTTTTGGCAGATGAGCTTCCTATGGAAGACATCAGATAGGCTAAAATATAATGAGTATCGAGGCCCCCGCATTGAAGCCACATTTGCCAATAGATGTTAAGCAGTTCCACCCAGTGCAGCAACGAGAAAACCACAAGTGTCAATAAGTCTCAGATGATATATGGACATGTAGTGTAAAATGAGTTGTTGTTTTATTTTTGTGACTCAGGGTTCGAACTTGGTCGTTTCATCAAATGAACTCATCTAACACGTTTAAACTTGTCAATATCTTCAAAGATGACAGTTTCATACTTCTTTCTTTATTCAAGGTATAAATGTTCCGGTGATATAATTACTATAGCAGCTATGCTTTCAGTAAATAACTCCATCTTCTATAGACCTAAGGATAAATTAATTCATGCAGATACAGCACGAAAAGGATTTTTTCATATAGCTGGTGATCATGTTATGCTATTGAGTGTTTATAATCAATGGGCAGAGTCAGGTAAGTTTCTCTTCATATTACTATTATTATTTATCATTTCAATTACAATCTGAGATATCTGTGGTTTTGGCAGACTAGTATTTATATTGGGTGATAATTGAAGGTGAAATGAATATTTGGACCGCGGTCGGATCCGAACCAGCTATCACTAAGGTTACTGGCCCATTGCTTTACCAACTGAGCTATGAAGCCCGAATATTCACCAGGTTTTCATTTCAATCACAAACAGGGTTTTTCTCTACTATCACTTAATCGTACTTTCCGGAAACCCGATTGTCAGTGCTTCGAATCCTACCATGGTTCAAACTTTCACTTCATCTTCAATCATCACCCAGTATCGACAAATGTTTATCAACTCACTGGTACCTCACTTAGTCTAATTAATTGGGATCGGTAATCCTGACTATGCAGCCAGTGTAAGTATGATCAGACGGTGATAACACGTCACGCATTCACATATTATTATTATTATTTATCCCTTGGGTTCCTAGTGGAACATAAGGCTTCAGAAGCACGTCTACAGTGAACTCTCTCCTCTGAAATATTTTGAACCTGGCTCCACGACAACCCACAAGCTCTCAGTTCCTCCTCACAAGATCTCCTCCATGTCACCCTCACCTCGGACACCCAACTCGTCTCTTTCCATCGAGGTTCCACTCAAGCAACTGGCCTGACACCTGATGTTCCCAATCGGCCTTCTCAGTACATGCCCAATCCACCTGCACTCTCTGCTTCTGCATATTTGTTGAGCGATAGGTTCTTGGTTGGTTCGTTCACACAGTTCCTTGTTACTTATTCTTTCTGACAATCCATCTGATCTTCAGTGTCGAGCGTAGGCAGTTGTTGATGAATTTCTGTAATTTGTTTGAAATCCTTTCATAACGAGTCAAGTCTCTCAACCATGACATGGAAGCACTGATTTGATGTTGGTGTTGAAAATCTCGATGTTGTTCACGCTTTATGCTGAGTGCAGTGCAGAAGATCTCCACATTGATTTCAGGCTAATGAACGCCTATCCTGCTGTCTTTTCCGATCACTGGTTGCTTTGACGTTCTCGTCTGTGCCTGTGACACCTGTAGTTGAAACAGTGCTGCCTGAGTAGGTGTAGGTGAAGAGGTTACTTCCTTTAAGTTTCTCCAATTCATGGTCATTGGTGTTCGTTGTTGTTGTTGTTATTGTTGGAGTTGTTGGTTGGGTATCTTCATCACCTCCATCTTCTCTATATTCATTTGAAGTCCTGTCTTTGCTGCCTTTTCTATCAACTTGTCGATTCAAGAGCTTTTTGAAGTACTCAGCTCATCGTTTCCTTTGTTTTTCTTTGGTAAAATAAAAGTCCGATGGGTAGTCGGACCTCGTATCTCAGTTGGTAGTATATCGAGCAGGAAACTCAATGGTCGCTTATTTGAATCCTGCTACTATTATCGGTATTCTAGTCGACTATCGGGTCCATTGGGTTGATCAGTTTAAAAATTTGTAAATTCATGTTTCATGCCTACTAGTATTACTTACCAACCAATTAATGAGAAAAGCGGAGTTTCGCTAACTGCACGTTTATGAGACCTGACCTCTTCGAGCTAAGAATTTGCGATGATTGTGAGTTTTTCACCGCTGTCACCTTTGAAGGGTTTCTCACATCCGATGGAAACAACATGTAAATTATCCTGAGTCAAACTAATCATGTGTTTGGGTATTATAGAAACTGTTTTTCATTCAGTGTAGTAATTTTGAAACATCAGCATATTGTCCCAGTGTTTCGAACTACTCACTGTTCGTTTGACCAGGGATCACTGGTTCGAAGAAGCAGAAGGAGGTGACTAGTGTATGATTTGCCGTCGTAATTTGAGGGATAATTGTGCTAGACTAGCCATCTGTAGGTGTCTCATGGCTCCCTAGATGGGATTTGAGGGACTATACAAGTTACTAGTTGGAAACGATACCAGGCATGACTGTGAATGGATGCAACGGCGATCATGTTGGATCCTTCTTGTTCCTTTTATTAATGGGAAATAAAACGAGAGAAGTAAACAGTTATTTGAATGCACCTTTGAGGCCGCTTCTCTACTAACCGCTGCTGCATTTCTTTCCACAATCTCTTTGGCTTTATGTGTCTTCATGAATGTTGGCTGCTCTATTATTTTCTATGGTGCATCTTGTAGTATCCATAGTGTCCCAGGTTTTTATTCTAGATTGGTGTCTAAAAAGTAATGATAGATAGTGGCTAGCAGTAGAATCCCATATAAGTGTTTCGTCCCATCCGGGACTCTTCAGCTGCATATAACTACCTCCCAATCAGTAATATTGCCCCATTTGAACTCGAACCCGAGACCCATCACCTCAAACTCATTGAGGTTATCCAGTAAGCCAACAGGTCACAAAAGCTGCTCCTTGTGTGACCGATGTGGCTTTTATATCATAGAGATCGGTCATTTTCAGTCAAATTAATTATGGAAAATTAGAATAGAATTACATTTAATACCTAAAAATTAGTCAATTTGTGAAAGCAAAGCTGTTAAATCGGTTGCTGTATACAATGCAAAGCGTGACTATCGTTTTGAAAGTCATGTTGAGTAAAATAACGTTACTGACTTCGCAAGCCGAATTATGCTTCTTGCTGATGGCTTTTTCTACAAATGTTTTAGTTAGTTAGTTGTACTCAACGATTACTCTTTAATATTTTTGTTCAGTCTGATAATTATCTTGAGAATGGGTGTTTTTAAATCTTACTAGTATGTTGCTGCAGTCCTCCCACCTCTGTGAATTGTCATTCTTGTCGAAGAAAACTTAGTGCCCACCTAGAACTTTTTTCTCCATTCCTATACTACTTTAAAAAAATATTCAGTAGCACGATTATTATAGTTTAATTTTTCAACGTCATAATATATAAACACAGGACCATGCATTACTGCCTAACAGTCCAACTCGCCACACCTCATATCACTCAGTACATCAAGTAGACAATGTAGTCAAAGGGAAGATGAACAAAACAAAACTCAGTCAAAAGAAATATCAACTACGAAAAGAGAGAAACGAAGGGTGAGAAAATGGTCAGATTCGTCATAGCGTTAAGATCAGGATAATGTGCGTGGGTATACATCTCCACCACTGACATCGGTTCTCAGCCATATCATCACCTACAGTCAGTCAGTCTCCAACCACTGGCTCCTCTTGTCCCACACACCACAACCGACTGGCTAGTCTGCATCACCCCCCACCCTCCCCAACATGAATCAAACCAACAGTCAAACACTTCATACATTCATCCCCTGTTTTAGGCTGGCCACCTCGAACCTTTTACCAGTCTCAACCTACTTCCACCAACATTGTGTGACGAGGCAATCGGTGACTTAACACTAGGCATACGTAACACATGTCCCTGCAGCCAGCCAGCCAGCCAGCCATCTCAGTCGATGAAGGTTCACAATCGTGTCAACTGACTCACCTCTTCTCCCTACACTTCACTTCTGCATTACTCGTGTGGCGACACCACGCAATATGGCTTATGCTACGAAGGCAACAGTGGTCAAACACCTGGAGCCTTCTTATTTCCTGCACCTTCAATAGCCATGTTTCATACCATACAGTGAAACAATGGATTGCTGTGCAGTACACACGACCCTTGACCGACAATCGGATATCATGGAGGTGGTGTCATAGATGGTGTAAGTTGACAACAACTAACCGACCTTTTGTATTCGTTCAGAAATGTCGTCAACCACTGAGCCACCAGTCCAGGGCTGATCATACTTCTCACGTAAGTGAAGTGGTCGACACACCCAACCACTGCACTCACTCTCTATTGTTAGCCGTGGCATAGTTGGAGACCAATCCTGTATCAAAAATTTGCATTTGGGTGGTAAGAAAAGTATCCCAAACATTCTCAAATTTCCATTCAAAGTGTTCAGAAGACTGTGCATCTCATCAGTCAGCGTCTTCACCTAACAGGACTATGTGATCTGCATATTCTAGGTCTAACAGAAATTCTTCTGTGACTAGGTCAACGTCTGTGTAATCAGGCGATGAGAGGGAAACTTGGATAAGAATATCTATGATAAAATTGAATAAGAATAGAGAGGGTAGGCAAGTTTGACGGACACCACTCGATGAGTACAGCTCACCTGACACCTCACCATAGTCTCTAACATGCCCACAAGTGGTCCTGTTAAGTGAAGGCGCTGACAAAATACAGTGAACACTTGTCAACACTTTGAGTGAGAAGTTTGAAATGTTTAAAATGCGGTTCTCACCACCCAAATGCAAATTTTTGATACAGGATTGGTCTCCAACTGTGCCACGGCTAACAATAGAGAGTGTGTAGTGGTTGAGTGTGTCGACCACTTCACTTACGTGAGAAGTATGATCAGCCCTGGACTGGTGGCTCAGTGGTTGACGACATTTCTGAACGAATACAAAAGGTCGGTTAGTTGTTGTCAACTTACACCATCTATGACACCACCTCCATGATATCCGATTGTCGGTCAAGGGTCGTGTGTACTGCACAGCAATCCATTGTTTCACTGTATGGTATGAAACATGGCTATTGAAGGTGCAGGAAATAAGAAGGCTCCAGGTGTTTGACCACTGTTGCCTTCGTAGCATAAGCCATATTGCGTGGTGTCGCCACACGAGTAATGCAGAAGTGAAGTGTAGGGAGAAGAGGTGAGTCAGTTGACACGATTGTGAACCTTCATCGACTGAGATGGCTGGCTGGCTGGCTGGCTGCAGGGACATGTGTTACGTATGCCTAGTGTTAAGTCACCGATTGCCTCGTCACACAATGTTGGTGGAAGTAGGTTGAGACTGGTAAAAGGTTCGAGGTGGCCAGCCTAAAACAGGGGATGAATGTATGAAGTGTTTGACTGTTGATTTGATTCATGTTGGGGAGGGCGGGGGGTGATGCAGACTAGCCAGTCGGTTGTGGTGTGTGGGACAAGAGGAGCCAGTGGTTGGAGATTGACTGACTGTAGGTGATGACATGGTTGAGAACCGATGTCAGTGGTGGAGATGTATACCCACGCACATTATCCTGATCTTAACGCTATGACGAATCTGACCATTTTCTCACCCTTCGTTTCTCTCTTTTCGTAGTTGATATTTCTTTTGACTGAGTTTTGTTTTGTTCATCTTCCCTTTGACTACATTGTCTACTTGATGTACTGAGTGATATGAGGTGTGGCGAGTTGGACTGTTAGGCAGTAATGCATGGTCCTGTGTCTGTATGTGATGATGATGAATATGTGAATGCGTGAAGCGTTATTACTGCATGATCGTATTCTCACTGACTGTCGAGTCAGGAATGCTTATGTCAACCCAAGTGTAACTGGAATAATGAAGGGCAGCATTTTATTGATTATGATTTTGACTATCTAAGTTAGCCCTATTTTGGTAGGCTACTATTTATACTGGGTAATGATTGAAAGTGAGGTGAAATTTTGGACGGCAGCGGGATTCGAACCAACGATCAAGCGTTAGTAACGCGTTGCGATTTCACATGATGGTCGTGCAAAACGGTTTGTGATTGAAGTGAAATATTAAAGCATCGGATGTGTATTCGGACGTCGTGTCTCAGTTTGTAGAGCATCATGTCGGAAACGCATTGATCGCTAATTCGAATCTGTCTGCGGTCCAAATTTTCAATTTGGCTTTAATCACACCGTCCAGTAACATGACTACTATCATTGTTCTTATTGTGCTTGTCATTTTGTAGATTTCTCTTCTCATTGGTGTTATGAACAATTTATTCAATATCGAACTATGAAACGTGCTCGTGATATACGTGATCAATTTGTTAATCTATTAGATCGAGTTGAAATTGAACTGGTGAATAATTCAAGTGATCATGTGAATATTCGAAAGGTTAGCTATACATAATTGTATGTTATTGCTAAATAGTCAAAGGGAGCAGGGGTGGGTGGGAAATATGAACTTGTAATTTGTTGAATTGTAATTCTAAGCCATTAAAAGTGTATTTGTGTGTGTGTGTGTGTGTTGTTTTTCACATATCTGATCATAGGTGTCTTTGTAGCATTGCTCGGTTTTGTGGAATCATCATGTGAGCAGTGTTGAGATCCTGTAAAGGGTACAAGGCTAGACAGGCGAGTTGATTGTGAAATTGTGAAGCTTAGTCGACTCAAGTGGCTTCAACATGTTACTGCCTGGTATATAGAGCCACTACCTATCTCGATGTTGTCATGCTAGAAGAAGTTGAATAAGATGATTGTAAGAGGGTTCAGGGTGACTAGATCAAGTCACGGTACCAGTTGATAAATGTACTGACTATTCCATGTGGGTACATTTAGACTGTCTGATTGAGGTTTCTAAGATAAAAGGAATGAGGGATTGAGGACTGGCTTATGGGTGACATTGCTGAGAATTGGTTAAGATGACGCAGATGTATTGCCCCCCTCTCGCCACCAAGTGTCATCATTATAGTCTTGTATACCTCACTTCTTGAAGAGTTTTAATGATAATCTATACTGTATTATTACTTTTCATGTTTAACTCGTGTACATCATCTTTCTTGTCAATATTTTAGGCAATTACAGCTGGATTTTTCTATCATACTGCACGATTCACTGGGAATGGTTATAAAACTGTAAAACAAAAGCATACAATATATCCACATCCTAATTCTTGTCTAGCTGAATCTTTATCAAAATGGGTTATTTATCATGAATTAGTATATACTACTAAAGAGTTTATGCGTCAAATTATTGAAATTGAACCGAAATGGTTACTTGAAGTTGCACCACATTATTATAAAGAGAAAGAAATTGAGTGTAACAATGAAAAAATGTCTAGGAATAAAGGTAAATCACGTGTTGAATTAGAACCGAAGGAAGGTATTTAATATTGAACTGTTTCCCCCCCCCGCCTCCCTGCCCCCCTACCACTTAGAGCATTCATCCACTTGTTGTCTAATATAAATTTAACATTTGCCTACTACAACTATCTAGTAGATCCCCTTGTAAATTATAATTTTTCTAATTTTTATTGCTTATTTTCTAATAGTTGTCTTGGTGATAATTCACTTTTCTAGGAAAATAACCCCTTTTTTTTCCCCCTTCTTCTCCCTTCATTCAAATACTATTTAACACTTCAGTTATGTATATATGCCAACTTCTTTCTTTTCTATTATACACAAATTATTATCTTAGACTAGTCAATATTCATTCTTTAAACGGTGAGCTAACAATGTTGAATTACATGATGAAACTATGAACTGAGCCCCTGGTGTCTATAAGAAACCTGACTACTGAAATCGGTACTTAGACATCAACTCATCTCAGTTAAAGTAGGCTTAGTGAACTGCGTAAGTGTGATAGGCTAAGAAAGCTTAAAAGTTTTGGTTGTATTGTATTCTCTGAACTGGGTCGTGAAGCTTTCATCGTCTTTCTCCTAGACAACATCATCATCACCACCACTAACTTCAGTATGAAGTCAGCTGTCAATATCTCTCCATCACTGATTTAGTAGCTTGCCTTGACGATTGGTTGATAGATCGGGTCTATGTCTATACATCTATTGATTGTTGACTGGCTGACTGATCTGAATCCCAAGCTTCTAGGAATTATCTGACATTCTTTGTGTTTCCTCTCTCCATCCAAGACTTCTACATTGTCGAAATTCAATTCATGTCCATAGTTGTTATCCACCTGCATTGAAATGACTGACGAAATGTCGTGATGTTTAATAGCCAATTGGTGTTCATGTGTAAATGACGAAAGTGAAGAGGGTGACCACTTTGTCCAATGTAGTGTTGAGACAATCACTGCACTTCATTTTGTAAATGATATTCGGTTTGTCTTCTTTGCTTGTCGCATTCTTCGGTCTGTATGGTGGTGTTTGGAGGTAGTTTGTTGGTTTATGAGCCTCACCAATTCCAAGTAGTTTCAGTAATCTTGTTGTGATTTCTGATCTATTCTTTATGTATGGTGCTGTGATGCGTTTATTGATTTCTGTCAGTGACTTTGTGGTTGATGATGTACGGGATAGGCATCTTGTGGTAAAGTTTCGTGGGTAGCTAGCTGTTCTTCTTTAGGGTGGATATCAAGTAATGTAGTGGGCGTCGCTGATCAGGATGGGTATAAGTACTATATGTTGAGAGGATGGCAGTGATGAGTAAGGATTCTGCCTAGAGAAATACAAGAGACAATGTGGGCGTATTCAAAGCAAATCGGGATAGAAGCTGAAGAGGAAATGAAGCGCATTATACAAATGATTGTCTTAGTGCAAGGTGTATACCCATGTTTGATGATGACTATTGTACAAGATGTCAATAATAAGCATTCCTTCCTTCGCTTCGATCTTATTGTTTCCTTCAGTACTATAAGAAATTAGAAAACATCAAGAATACCGTGTCTCTCAATAGTAGTAACATTGATGTTATTAAGAGTGATGACGAATTCTCAATTATGCTGTTTGCGATTACAGTGGCATTTGAACCAAGAAATTCGCCTAGGTTAAGAGACCCTATTCATGCAATCAAGCATAATAATCTGGTTTACCAAATCCTCTGTGATGGTTGCGAGGTTAAAAACGTGAGGTGAAAGTAGTCGACCCTAGTCAAATAGAATAATGGAGCAAGAAATATAGAGAAAAGCGCTCCAGTACAGCTGTGCGCGCACACTTACACACACTAGGGTGGGATAAAATAACAGTACTAAGTTAGTTGGATGAAGGAAGAGAGAGATTGAAAACCTAATACATGTATTAATAGAAATGATTCTGCATCTGTCTGAGAAATATCAAAAATTCTACTGGGTTTGTCATCAGAAAAAAAGCGAGAAAATTAGGACTATTCAAAGTCTGTCTGAGTTGTGGAGTTACTGAAATGTTATCTAGTAAGTAATACTGTCCATTCACTGTGTATGACATTTCTAATAAACAGATTATAATGGAATTACAATGGACCATAGTGCCCAAGTTTCGCTCTTATAATAATGCATAATGGGTTAATGGATAATGTTCTCGTAATTGAGCTTATTGTTCCTCGTTTGGAGTCTTACTGGGAACATAATCATTCAGTTGGATGCAGGTACATATAGCTGGCAAGTCCTAAATGGGAGAAAACGCACGTTTTGGATTGCACTACTAACCATCATTAGTATGAAAACCATTAAATACTTCGGTTATCAAGATATCGTGATTATTCTAGGTATCCTATAAAATCTAATAAACCCATATATCTGTAGGAGACTGAGCATTCATTAGTTCTTGCTTTTAATTGACGCATCATCTCCCCAGGTGGTCTTCTCAGTGTATCCTTAATCTGTCTCCAGCTTCTTCTTCTTCTGCATACTTTTTGGGCGATAGGTTGTTGGTTGGTTGGTTCGTTGCCAGCCAGAGTGAGTTCCTTGTTGTTTATTCTTTCTGGCCTTCTGATCTCGTCTGCAGTATCGAACAAAGTTGGCAGCTAATGATGAATTTCTGTAGTTTGATGGGAACGCTTTTCGTAAGATGCCAATGTCTGTGAACCGTCACATAGAAACACTAAGTGACTTGACTGAATTAGTGTTGAAAATCCGATCTGGTTCACGTTTTATGCTGAGTGGAGTACAGTAGATCTCTACACTGATTATTTCAGATTAATGAAGGATGGCCTGTCGTGATGTGTTTCCAATCCTGGCTGATTTTGACATCGTCATCTGTGTGTGTGTGCCGCCACAACCGCCTGTAGTTGAAACGATGCTGCCTGCCTTGGTGGGTAGGTAGGTAGGTGAAAGAGACAACTTCGTTTAGATTTCTCCCATTGATGGTGATTGGTAGCTGGTGTTTGTTGTTGTTGCTGTTAGTTGTGTATGTTCATCACCTGTGTCTTCTCTACGTTCACGTGAAAGAAGTTGCGTCTTCGCTGCGTCGTCTCGCCTCACCTCTCCTGCTGACTTGTTAGTTTTCGCGTGTAGATGTTCTAGTTTGTGCTGCAATACATTCTACATAAATGATGATCGGCGAAATCCAATCACTGTTCCTATTTAACTTCGTCATTGATGTACTAATGGACATAACTCTAGGTACTTCTGACTTCACATGGATTGATCTACTCCCTAGAGGTAATCCGATTGACTTGGAGAATGCAGACGATATTGTCCTACTAGATGAAGACGCTGACAGAATGCAGCGTCTTCTGAATACATTGAGTAGATATCTGAGTATGTGTGGCATGCGTTTCATTGGCACCTGTCAGATGTAAAATGAAGCTCCAGGACTGATCTGTTGCAAGTATTCCCATTTTAAGGAAAGGGGGTGAAGTGGCGAAACGTCAACCACTTCGCTTGCCTTAGGAGTCGCATCATGCCGAGCGGGTTGGTTGTTGACGAAATTTCAGCTTGAATGGAGTCGCCCTGTTTGGTAGTTGCCAACTTGCATCGCCTATGGTACCGACTGACGAGATATCTGAGTATCTGTGAAAAGATGAATATACTGCGCTGGAATTGTTTCTACCCTGTTGTATGGCTGTGAAATACGGCCACTAAAAGCAGAAGAAATGAAACCATCGCAGGGTTTTGATCACAGGTGTCTACGTAGCATTGCTAGCGTTTAGTGGGATCACCGTGTGAAGAATGTTGATGTCAAGCGAGGGGTACTAGACAAGATAGACAAGTCGATTGATAAGGTTATGAACCTTCATCAACTAAGGTGGCTTCGACATGCATTGCACATGCCAAGCCACCACCTACCTCGATAGGATTTATTTGGAAGGGGATTCAGGGTGGCCAGATGAGGGTCTCACATCAGTCGATGAAGTCTCTTACTATTGGTCTGAGTCGTGTGGGAAGATGTAGACTGTCCCAAAACGAAGGGACTCAGTGGTTGAGCAGTAACTCTTGGTGACATGGCTGAAAATTGTTCACAGTGGCGCAGCCGTATATTCAGTCTTTAACATCTTCTAAAGCCTGAACATTCTCACTAACCTCCGTCTTCCAGTTGTTCATTATCTCACACAAGTTTGTTTACTCTTATACGACTTTTATTGTTTTCGCCTGTGGTGTGTATTATTATATTATTATTATTAGTCCCTTGGGTTCCTAGTGGAACATAGGGCTTCAGTAGCACGCCTCCAGTGACCTCTGTCCTCTGAGATCTTTTGAACCTGGTTCCACGACAGCCCAGAAGCTCTCATTTCCTCCTCGCATGACCTCCTCCATGTCACCCTCGGACGTCCAACTCGTCGCTTCCCATGGGGATTCCACTCAAGGGCCTGACGCGTGATATCCTCAGTCGGCCTTCTCAGTGCATGGCCAATCCATCTCCACTTCTTCCTGCATATTTGTTGAGTGATAGGTTCTTGGTTGGTTCGTTCCTAGAGTTCCTTGTTGCTTATTTTTTCTGGCCATCTGATCTTCAGTAGCGAGCGTAAGCAGTTGTTGATGAATGTCTGTAGTTTATTGGAAATGCCTTTCGTGACGCGCCAAGTCTCTGAGCCATACAGGAGCACTGACTTAACGTTGGTGTTGAAAATCCGTATCTTGTTCCGCATGCTGAGTGCAGAAGATCTCCACACTGGTTTCAGGCTAATGAAGGCCTGTCTTGCTTTTCCGATTCTGACTTTGACGTCCTCGTCCGTCCCGCCTGTAGTTGAAACAGTGCTTCCTAGATAAGTGAAGGAGGTTACTTCCTTCAAGTTTCTCCCGTTGACGGTGATTGGAGTTTGTTGTTGTTGTTGATGGTGGTGGTGCGGTATCTTCATCACTTCTGTCTTCTCTATATTCACCTGAAGTCCCGTCTTAGCTGCCTCTTCTATCAACTTGTTAGTTTTTGCCTGCAGATCTTCAAGTTTGTGTGACATTAGGCATAAGTCATCGGCGAAATCCAAGTCTTCTAGGTTCTTTTCCGTAGTCCAGTGTATCC